CCAATAAATTGTTGAATCTCCAAAGAGGAGAACAGATGGACACTATTAAGTAAATCAGGGAAGAAATCCATAAATTGAAGTTATATTGGTTAATATGAGAGACATTCAATGAGATAGTTTTGGCTTTTAAAAAATGTTTTTGCTGAAACTTTTTTAAAAATCAGAAGGTGTATGAATATTTCTGAAACTTGGGGGGAATGATCCCCTGTTATCTTGAATCATTGTATAGAAAATTCAAGGAGATAGCTCTTGTAGGTTTTTTAAATGTTCTGAAATTAGATGGGCTAACTGTGGTAAATGCATTTTATAAACATAGAAAGTTTCCTGCCAATAGCTATAACAATGAGGGAGAAAGGTGCCCTGAAGTTTCCCCATTGGCACAATTAATTACTTAACAAAAAAAGTAACAAAAAAGTAGAAACTCATTATAGTTACAATACAGACCCTGTCCAATTTTGGAATCATCCCTTAATTTTGTAATAAGTATTGAAACACTTTTATTTGTTTATTCAGATGTTCCACAGTTTCATTAATATCACATTTTTCTTCATAACTAATCATTATGTCATCAACAAGTCAGAATATATATCAGTTTGTTATATTTGTATTGGAAGTAAGGGCAACTGTCAGTCTTTCCTTTTTCTTTTTTTAAATATATTATTATTATTATTATTATTATTATTATTATTCCTCTTCCCCTTACCCTTAGTTTGTGCCCCCTCCACCAGGACCAACCAACTCATGTTGTTTCACCATTCCAAAATATCATTGTTTCTCTTGCTGGCTTATACCCCTTTCCCTCATTAAACACATACTCGATAAATTTTCCCCATATTTTCCAAAAGTCTGTTTGTTTACATATTCCCCTTTTAATTTTAATATTGCAAGTTAGCTTATCATTAATCGCTATATTCCAAATTTCCCTATACCATTCTTCTAATTGAATTTCTTTTTTTTTCTTCCAATTTTTTGCTATTAACAATTTAGCTGCTGTTATCAAATTAGAAACCAATTCTTTCTCCTCTTGTACAGGAATTATATTATCATGTATAAGTAATAAAGCTAATTTTGGTGTAATCTCAATCTCTATTTTTATTATTGCTCTTATTTCTTTGAATATGCTTTCCCAAAAATTTTGTATAATATAACATGACCACCACATATGAAGATACGTCCCTATTACTTGACAACCTCTCCAACACTGATTTGAATATTTTTTTATCAATCTGATTTAATCTAATAGGGGTTAGATACCACCTCCATATCATTTTGTAGTAATTTTCTTTAATTCTGATAGACATATTTTTTAGTATTCTCATATTCCATATGTTTGCCCATTCTTGATTATTCATTTTCCCCCCAAGTCTGTTTCCCATACTTCCTTCAAATAATCTTGTTCCTGTTCATTCATTAATAACAGTTTATAGATATCACTTACTGTGCCTTTTAATGTTATATTCTCTTCTTTAGTCTCCCTTTGAGTTATCATCTTTTCTATTTTTGTGTATTCCCTACCTCCATTATACTTTTTCCTTATATCACTTGACCATTTGCCCAATTGTAAATACTTATACCAATCTAAGTCTCCTAATTCCTCTTTTATTCTTTCCATATTTACCATTTTCAGATCCCAGTCTTTTACTTTCATTAAACCTCTTCCATTAAGTTCTACTTCAAGTTCTTTTTAAATTTTCTGGGAAGTTTTCTGTCATTAAAACTGGCATGATAGGAGAAATACCTGGCATTAGGGTTTTTTTATATCTCCCCCAAATCTCTAAAATATTTTTTAGAAAGGGATTGTTTAAATTGTTATACCATTTCTTTTTACCCTTTTCTCTATTACCCCTATAAAAATGTATTCTAATTTCAGTTCTAATTTTTTATCATCTTCTTCTAACCACTCCAAGCTCTTTTGTTTTGCTAAACTTTCTACTATATATCTAATTTGATTTGATTGATAATATAACTTGAGGTTTGGTAATCCAAGACCTCCCTCTTTCTGTGATTTATACCATAAACTTTTATTTATTCTAGCTTTTTTGTTTCCATTACAGTACAGATTTAACATGTTTTGCCAGATTTTTATTTCTTGATCTGAAATTTTTACAGGTAGCATTCTAAATAGAAAATTTAGTTTGGGTAATATCTTCATTTTAATTAATGCTATCCTACCGAACCATGATAATTTGAGCTTATTGTATTCCAGCAATTTCTTATCAATTTCCTTTCTTAATTTGGTTAGATTATTTATTTCTAAGTTTTTTAAATCTTTAGTTATATTTATTCCTAAATATTTAATTGTTTCTTTGATTTTAATTTTAATTTTCCCCTCCTGTTTTATATTTTTTATCTCTTCTTCTCGATAATTAAATATCATCATTTCTGATTTGTTCCAATTAATTTGTAACCCTGTCATTAATCCAAATTCTGTTAAATGAGCCTCAATTTTCTCCCAATGTTTTATTGGATGTTCCATTGATAAAAGGGTGTCATCTGCAAACAAATTTATTTTATATTTCTGTTTTATTCCTATTCCTTTTATACTACTATCATCTCTAATTACATTAGCTAATAGTTCGATTACAATTGCGAATAAAATTGGGGAAAGAGGACATCCCTGTCGCGTGCCTCGTGTTATATCTATTTTCCCTGTTAAACCATCATTCACCATTACTTGGACACAATTTTTGGAATATAATTTATCAATTAGGTTTCTAAATTTTTCTCCAAATCCAAATTTAGCTAATATTAATTTCATTGTCTGCCAGGATACACTGTAGCCTTTCCTTTTTCAAGAAGCATTTCATTCAAGTTTTTAATCCATGCTCTTGCTCCTTTCTTTAGTCCAGAGATGCTCTTTTGCAGTTTACATACAATGCTTTTGTTATTCTTGTCTTCAAATCCTGAGAGTTGCTCAATGTAAATACCTTCTGTTAGATCTCCATGAAGAAAAGCAATATTTATTTCCAAATGCTCAAGATTCATTTTTCTTTATGTTGTAGTACTTAGAAGTGTCCTTATGATACTGGAAATTTGGAGTTTTTCTAAGTCCCGTGGATACCTAGGGATATATTCATTTATTTTTTATTTCCAGTATTTCTACTCCATCCTTCTCAGGGACTCAGGATGGCTTGCCTGTCAAGCTTCGCTAACTGCAGATTTTGCAAATCAGGAACCAGGAATCTCACCAGGTTGAAGGGTTTATTTAATTTACATAAAAGGGACACTCATACAGAACAGATGCTCAAAGGGTACAAGTGCAAAAGCAAAATCATAAGCAAACATTTTTATACACAAGAATTCTCATGCATCAACACTGCTACATTTTGAAACTCCCTCCCTTTCTCCTGATTGGCCAGCAGCGAGAAGCCAGCTGGTGTCTCCCAGACCTCTGATTGGTCAGGAGGTGGGTCTTAGCCAGTGCATGCCATCATTGGAAGTGGTGGCAGTGACGTAGCTGGGGATCTCCTCCCAGCTGGGCAGGGAGATTCCAGGGCTTCCAATGGGCTGGCTGAGGTGGTCTTGGGGGCAGCGAGGTCCCATGGGGTTGAGCCAACCCCTAGATATGTAGCTGGAGACAAAGAAAAGTCCAAAAGAAGATTTGCCAGGATTATGAAGATACCGGGCCCCGCCAGAGAAGACCATGGGGGTTGTTGTCCCAGACATCTTCCCATGCTGGGGAGACAAAGAAAGAGTCCCAAAGATGTATATTGTTGATGCGATTGCAATCAAGGCAACCTTTGTCCTGTGGATAGCTGAGATCCCCGAAAGCGAAGTTCTGCACAACGGGCAGATGGGCTCCCGCTGAGATCCAGGAAGGCCCTAACCCATAGCTTATGTCCCATCTCTGGTTCATACACAGGGAGTGTAATGGGTATCTGGCTTCAACCTTCCTCATATTGTTGGTGTGGAGAGGAGAAGTGGATAAGAAGGAAAAGAATACACTCTGTATGTCACTCTGAGTAATTTGAATGCAAATTTAAAAGATAACAATTAAGCCTAACAACTGCTCTTTTCTTCCCATGCCATTTACTCTGAGGTACAAAGCCTAGTTGAGATCCAAGAAATGCAAAAAGAAAACAAACAAAAAAAGACAGGGCTCTGAAATAAAACAGCCAAGACTCTTTGAGATGCGTAGCATTAAATGTTTATTGAGTATACAGATTGGAATTGTTCATATATGAGAAGACATGTTTGTTGTTAGGATTATAATATCAAGGGGAGATTGCCATCATTTCCTTGGGTGTCTGGAGAAGTATTTATCCAAGAATTGAACGTTTCCCATACTTTCCCTATGTCCTCAATATTAAGCAGCATTTCCCTTTGCCATGCAGGTAGCTGTTCCAACAGGGATAGTTCATCTAATCTGCACACTCTGGGTCTCTTGATGTTTTCTGATCTGAGAGGCAGGTTTTTTAGAAGTGGATTTTACAATCCAGATTTGGGGGCAATTTGCTAAACCTCATGCCTCTGTTCCCATCTGGGAACGTTATGGGAAGGGACCTATTCCTTGCCAGAACTCTGGGTTGAAGGATGTGGTTGGAATGGGACACCAAAACAACTGGAGGACTAAATGCTGGAAATCACAGATCTAGAATTACAAAAGTTTTTTGATCTTTTCTTATATGGGTAATGCAGATACAACTACCTTGTGAGATAGCCCTCGACCCAGGCATGTAGCCAGGGTGGGGGGGCTTGAGGGGCTTCAGCCCCCCCCCCCAAATTCTCATGGTGGTTCGCGAAAAGGCCTTACTGGTGCATTATTTAAACTGTTATGTTTATTCATATCATGATCTGATCACCATACTCAATATATCCCATATGCATGGGGGTATTGGGGTAATGATACAAAAGGTTTGCTAGTGTAGACCCTCTTTCACTCAGACTCAGCCCCCCCCCCCCCCCCCGAACCCCCCCTTGAAAAAACTCAGCCCCCCCTCTTAATCGAAATCCTGGCTACGGGCCTGCCTCAACCTGAATGGAAATCAAATAGATTTGTAGCCACTGCAATCCTCCCATCCTGGTTGACTCTACTAGTTTTTAGAGCCACATCTGGGAATAACTTGACTCTTATGGCCAAAGCCAAGCTCAGCTCCACCACTGGCCACAAGGTCACATCCTGTGCAGAACGTGGCATCGGCAGCAAGGAACAGGGCAGCCTTCGCAATCTCTGCAGGGGTCCCCATCCGTCCCAAAAGCTATGGACACAATGGAGAAGAAAAAGGGTGGTGCAAAATTAGTGCTTGAGGAAAATCTCATGGCTAGACACTAGGCTTGGTTGATAAAAAAAAAAGAATTTCAAAACCCATTTCGGATGTAGTGGGCACTGGTGGTTCAATTCTAAAATCACTTCTAATTTTTTTTAAAAAAAAATCAAAACTTTCCAAATCTTCCGAAACTTCCAAACCGCATTGTTAATGGCAGACATGCATGTGCAGTAGGAAAAAACAGCACTGTCACTGGGAAACATTCAGGAGATTCTCCCTCCCTCATTTCTACACCAATCCTGATTAAACTTGCTACAGTAGTAGAACACACAGACGATTGTTAGCTCACCAAATTTCATTGTTAGCTCACCAAATTTGACTTATCCATGGATTTTTGGCAAATTTTAAAAGTTTTTATAAAAAAAACATTTTTAATAATAAAGAAAATCTGTTCCTGGTTTGAAAGTGTTATTACCTGTTTCATTGGGTGGTATTTACTGGAAAGTAGTTGTTTTACTCCTGAAACTGATAAATTGATGGAGAACAGGAATCATAGTACAGACCCCATCAAGAGACATCTAGACTGATCCCCTTCTTCTGGGCAGAAAAGCACCATCCAAACTCTCCTGACATCCATTTGCTTCCTCTATTGAGTTAGAGGGGACCCTCAAGACACATCCATCCGTTTATTCCTTTTTGCAAATGCAACCAATCATTTTATTTTATCATTACTTATTGACTGACTGTAAGGGACTGGCTGGCTGGCTGTGGCAATCAGGCCAAAGTAAAAGGATTGTTTTGTAAGCAGTTTATGTTCTCTTGTTTTTGCAAAAGTTACTAATTGCTTTGCTGCCTTCTTTAGACTCCTTTGTAGATTCAATCAGTGTATTTTATAGTTAGACGAAGACTGCTACAGACAGCTATTTTTAGGGTTCTTCAGCCATTTTGGCTAATGAGCAGCTGTGCATTGTGGGAAATGTAGTTTAAGAGCAGGGCCTTTTGCAATCTCTACCATTGGGGGCCTTGCCTTAACAAACTACAGATGGCTAAAGATGGCTATGACTAGCCATGCCCACCGCATCCCTTTTTGCACCACTGATGGAAAGAATGAGATTTAAAAAATTCCCTTGCCTTTACCAAAGTTGCTTAATGGTTGTGAAAATTAAAATAACCTCAGGATACATCCAAACATTATAGGATAATTACAAGGGGGTAGTGTTTGGATTCTTCCCCCCCCCCTTTCCTGCATGGTTCAAAACTGCATTAGATCTCCAAATTCAGAAGTTTTCTTCCAAATTTTAGTCATTTCCAAATGAACCTATCCAACCCTACTGGAAATCCTTTGGAGTTTGTCCTTGTAATTTCTGAGAGCTCATAAGCTTCTCTTATAGGCTTAAAAACCAGACACTTTTTATTTATTTCGACTGAAGACAATGATTCTTGGAAGAAGAAAACAAATGGAATAGAGATGTGTTTGTGTGTGTGTGTGTGTGTGTGTGTGTGAGTGAGTGAGTCTACTAAGGTTGGATAGGTTCATTTGGAAGAGCCTAAAAGTTGGAAAACATTTCTGAATTTTGACTTCCGAAACAGTTTTGAATCATGCAGGAAAAGTTGGGGGGAGGGGGGATCCGATTTTGAACCACTTACCTTTTTTAAAAAAAACCCATAATGTTCAGATGTCTCCCAAGATTATTTTAATTTTCACAACAACTAAGCAACTTTGGTAAAGCCTAAAAAGTTTTAAAATCTCATGCTTTCCCTCCCCGGTGATGCAAGGAGGGATGAGGTGGGCATGGCTAAGCACAACTATTGTTGTAGTTTGTGAAGGCCAATTTAACACCGTTTGTGCCACACAAACAAGGTTTCTGGAGTAGAACAACTAATTTCAAAGTAAAGACCACCCAATGAAACAGGGAATAACACTTTCAAATCAGGAACAGATTGTCAAAATCTATTTTCAGCAAACTCCACCAGTGTTCACATCCATCATTGTTTAAGTCCATAGTGCTCTCTAGATGTAGGTGAACTACAACTCCAAAACTAAAGGTCAATGCCCACCAAACCCTTCCAGTACTTTCTGTTGGTCATGGGAGTGCTGTGTACCAAATTTGATTGTAAGTGAACTATAAATCCCAGCAACTACAACTCCCAAATGACAAAATCAATCCCCCCAACCCCACCAGTATTCAAATGTGGATGTATCAGGTATTTGTGCCAAATTTGATCCAGTGAATGAAAATACGCCCTGCATATCAGACATGTACATGACAATTCAGAACAGGAGCAAAATTATAGTTATGAAGTAGCCACGAAAATAATGTTATGGTTAGAAGTCAGCACAACATGAAGAACTATATTAAGGAGTTGCAGCATTAGGAAGGTTGAGAAAAACTGAGGTAGAGGAGGCAGGGGTTTTTTCTTGTGCACACAGAATTTTATTGGTATTTTTATGGAGGGCTGTATATGCATTTCCTACTATAAAATAGAAACCCACCCTATACAGTAGCCCACCTCCATTATGCACTTGCCTGAGAATCTTTGCTTTCCTGGATTGCTGCTTCTGGATCAGGTTGTTTGTTTAGAAACCATTCCTGCATTGGAGTCCAGATATGGCCAGGTGAAATGCTAGAATTCAAATTGTTTGGATATTTTTAAAGGAGTAAAGCCAGGTTTGGAAGTTGCAGCACAGAAGAGTAAGCAAATCCATTCCCACATAGTGGGATATATTTTAAGATTCCTAGAAGTATAAAAGCCACCACACCCCAAAGTTTCCATATGTTACTTAACAATTCCGTATTGGGAGTCAACCATATCCTGTTTCTAGTTCTCAACAAGGAAACAGATAGGCAGCTGATGTTAGTTTATAGGGAAAGGTCCCCTCTATAGCTCTCTTTGTCTGTCTCTCCTTGTTTCCTCCAAATTCCTGAGCAAGGGCCCTTCTAGACAGGCCCTATATCCCAGGATCTGAACCCAGGTTTTGTGTTTATCCCAGATTATCTGGCAATGTGGAATCATAAAATCCGGTTTAAAGCAGAAAACCTGGGATCAGATCCTGGGATAAGGTCCTTAGGGGACATCTAGACAGTCCCTTTAATGCGGGAGTTGCTGCATAAAAAGGGGTCTGTCCAGATGACATCCTGGACAAACCAGAATTAATTCCCCACAAACCAGGAAAACCCTGGTTTATGGTGAATTAATTTGATATTTTAGAAAGCGCACACTTTCTATGGTAAGTGTAGATGGACCCTCAGGAATATCTGCATTTTTTAAACTCGGGTGCTCCTGGAATAACAGCCTGTCTGAAACTGCCCTTAGACTGATATTCTCAGGAAAACCTTTACTTTCCTAAATTAGAGACCTCATGGGAGTTTGGTCTCTCTTCCTTTTTCTCCATAGAGATAACAGAGACATAATGGCAGCTTGTTCCAGACATAGTGAAATACAAATAATTCCTGAACTTTCCTATTTAGAAACATAGTTCTTTCCAGTAAACGTTTTTCTAACATTTAAAGCCTGACTCTGCTCCTTTGATTGCTTCAGCTCATTCATGCTCCTGCCCTGCTCAGAATCATAGAATCATAGAATCAAAGAGTTGGAAGAGACCTCATGGGCCATCCAGTCCAACCCCTGCCAAGAAGCAGGAATGTTGCATTCAAATCACCCCTGACAGATGGCCATCCAGCCTCTGTTTAAAAGCTTCCAAAGAAGGAGCCTCCACCACACTCCGGGGCAGAGAGTTCCACTGCTGAACGGCTCTCACAGTCAGGAAGTTCTTCCTCATGTTCAGATGGAATCTCCTCTCTTGTAGTTTGAAGCCTTGTTCCGCGTCCTAGTCTCCAAGGAAGCAGAAAACAAGCTTGCTCCCTCCTCCCTGTGGCTTCCTCTCACATATTTATACATGGCTATCATATCTCCTCTCAGCCTTCTCTTCTTCAGGCTTAAACATGCTCAGCTCCTTAAGCCGCTCCTCATAGGGCTTGTTCTCCAGACCCTTGATCATTTAGTCGCCCTCCTCTGGACACATTCCAGCTTGTCAATATCTCTCTTGAATTGTGGTGCCCAGAATTGGACACAATATTCCAGGTGTGGTCTAACCAAAGCGGAATAGAGGGGTAGCATTACTTCCCTAGATCTAGACGCTATGCTCCTATTGATGCAGGCTATTGTTGTTGCAGTTTATATGTTTATTTTAAAATGCTTTTTTAGTTTTTGTAATCTCTTCACATTCAGCTATATCGAAATTTTAAACATGTTTTCCAAAATACCTTGAATCTTCTGCCAAGATTAGGGTTTCTTGGAAGCATTTGTCACTCTGGATATTTTGAATTGCAACGTGGCCAATAGGAAAGGTCACTGGGCAAATCTCCATCTCAACCAGTAAAGCACCGGCTAGTGTGGACAACAGGGAGGGACACTGGGAGCAGATGGCCATGTGGAAGACCAAAATGTGTGAGCCATTATGTTGTCCTAGTTATTTTCAGGGAAAAGAAACCAAACCTTTAATTGGCCATGGTCTAGAGGCATTCTCTCCTGACGTTTCGCCTGCATCTATGGCAAGCATCCTCAGAGGTACCTGGCAAAACATCAGGAGAAACGTCAGGAGAGAATGCCTCTAGACCATGGCCATATAGCCCGGAAAAACCTACAACAACCCAGTGATTCCAGCCATGAAAGCCTTCAACAATACACAAATCTTTAATTGTTGGCAAAAGTCTTACCTGTTGACTCGGACACAATATTTGCTCTCATCGATGGCCAGGGATTTTGTCATCGCTCTAATGGCACCCTACAAGTTGAAAGAGTTATTTTATTATACTTATTTTTGAAAATTTTCTATACGGTCTTTGGAAGCAGAACCTTATATGAAGCAGACCATCGGGCAAAACACTGAAACAATGCAATATAAAATACAATTGATGAAAGGCTACATTAAAAAAAATTAAGAACAGCCAGAACACTAAAAGTCACAATGTAAATAAAAGGCCTATATTTCAATCAAAGTGGGTTGAAAAACTATTTGCCCCTTGACCATAATCAAGAAGGGAGTGAAGAAAACTGGTTTTTAATAAGAATGGGGCTACCAAAGAAAAGCACTTCTTTCCTCATTCCATGGTTGTTCCAAATGTAGTACAAGGGGTAACATCTATGGTCTCCAAATGTAACTTTTCTAACCATTGGACAGAATTTGACTAAAAGGAAACAATAATAACCTGGCCTGTTCTTGTGGCCTTTGAAAGAGGCTTGCTGCTAAAAATCACTGCAGCAGGAGCTTTGAAGAAATGTTGGCAACGCTTGCATTAGAACAGTGGGGGAGGTGGGGATAATTTCAGGTTCTATTGCTCCAGCCTACCTTGCTTGAGGTATAGGGCAGTTCATGTCCGCCTCCAACAATATGGGCAATACTAGAGAGATTGATGATGTTACCTTTTGTTTTTCGGAGATAAGGTAGAGCATACTGCAAATAAAAAGAGAGATAAATTGAGATGAAAGAAGAATATACCAACATACAAGGGTTGAATGAAAACTAATGCCTCCACCTTTGTAACTCCTCAACAGATGGCAGTACTGGTATGTGATAGGTACTGGCTTGTTCAGTAGTCTCTCTTCTACAGTTGCATTTTGGCGGGAATTCTTAGCATTGAACAGTTGTGTTGGTAAAGTGAGAAGTATGGAACCCTGCACAGACGGATGGTCAATGCGACTTAAGCAACGTGCAGTCATTGAATTCTTGACAGCAGAAGGTGTCACCTACAGAACTTTGGATAAGCGAGACTGTACTGTAACTGCAACTCAATAATAAAAAAGCATCTACAAGAGGCTTAGGCTCACCCCATTTCATCTGGGAAACATATGAACCCCTGTAGAGCTACTGACAGTCTTCCCCAAGCCTGGGGGCTTCTTGGAGTGCTGGACTACAATTCCCATCCTCTCACCTACATGGCAGCAATGCACCCATCTGGCACATCTTGCTTGGTTGATGATGATAATACTCAGTTTGTTCGACTGCAGTTCTGAGAATTCCTTTCCACTGTCTACCTTGGCTAGGGATGCTGGGATGCACAGTCCAAAATCTCCTGAGCAGCTCCATGGCTCCACCACTAAACTCAAGGGAATGAGGGTCTGATGTTATATAAAGCAGCTTCCTGTGAATGTATTCATATTACTCACTTTAGATGCTAAGAAGGTGCCAACAACATTGGTGTCCATGACTTTGTGGAATTCTTCTGTGGTGACGTTATCGATTGGTTTGGGACTGGAAACTGTTGGCAGGTAGATATAAAAAAGAAGAGAATTTCACAGAAGAGCCAGAATAATTCCCTATCTCTTTGGTTTGTTTGTTTTTTTTTAAAAAAATCACTTATTGCTGTCCTTGTGATTTATTTGTAAATGTCATTATGAAGGAACTGCTATCGATAGGTTCCACAAACATGAAGATACATCATTAAATACCAAAATCAGAATTATCTATTGCATAGATATATGTATATGATTGGGAAAGCTACACAGCAGGGCAAATTGATAGGAAGGGGATAATGTTGTTTGAAATGTGGCATTTCATGTATACCATAAAACACCAACGAAGAAAAGCAGGGTGGTATGTAAAAAAGCAGGATGGTATGTTAAAAAAGTCCTTGAACACTTAGTAAAAAGCCCCATGCCCCCCAACCCCCCCCCCAAAAAAAAACCAAGGGAACCCTGATCTTTCCCAGGCAGGTTTTTGGGATTGACTTACCAATTCCAGCATTGTTCACCAGGCAGTCAAGCTTTCCATAAAGTTCAATGGTCACAGCAACCAGATTCTATGGGAAAGGACAAGGTTAGTAAAAGAGAAGAAATGAAACATGGAAGATGTTTAGCAAAAGCTGAAACACAATTATTTTATGATTACATCTGAAAGTTGGTCGGACAGCCTTCCACAATGCACATGTGCTGATTACAACTCCCACCATCCCTAGCCAAGATAGGTATAATCAGGGAAGAGGTAAGATGCAACCCAACTCATATGAAAAACATTGTATTGGGGAAGACACTACAACTAAACTGGGACAGTCATCATTCCCACAATTTTAGATTAAGGTAAAGGTAAAGGTTGTCCCCTGACATTAAGTCCAGTCATGTCCAACTCTGGGGTGTGGTTCACATCTCCATTTCTAAGCCGAAGAGCCGGCATTGTCCGTAGACACCTCCAAGGTCATGTGACCAGCATGACTGCATGGAGCGCCATTACCTTCCCACCAGAGCAGTACCTATTGAGCTACTCACATGTGCATGTTTTCAAACTGCTAGGTTGGTAGAAGCTGGGGCTGACAGTGGGAGCGCATGCTGCTCCCCGAATTTGAACCTGCAACCTTTCGGTCAACAAGTTCAGCAGCTCAGTGCTTTAACCCACTGCGCCATCGGGGGCTCCTTACAATTTTAGATTACATCTTCCAAAATTCATCCACAATCATTGGAGGATCCTGGGATGTCATCTAAAGAACTACGTTTTCAAGTCCAGGCTTTAAGAATGGATTTGTGCCAAGGGAAAACTGGTTTCGAAACCATTAAAGAAGCATAGTGAAGTAGCACTGGAAAATGACTCTGGAGACCAGGGTTCAATTCTCCCTTTGTCATGGAAACCCACTGGGTGACCTTGGGTGAGCCATGCATACTCAGTCCCAGAAAGCCCTATGATAGCGTCATTTTGGGGTTGTCAAAAGTCGGAGATAACATAAAGGCACATAACAACAAAGAGGCTCTCCCAAACCAACAACTTTCCCCTTAGCCCTACCTGAATAGCTTTTTCGCAGCAAACATCGCAGATCTGAAAGTAAACTTCCCCAGGACCCCCACAAAACTCCAATTCCTGCACAATCTTCTTCCCCTGTTCTTCTGCAAAGACAGTTGCAAACAAGAGTTCATGAGGAGTTTGGAGGGCAGTTCCAGTTCCAGTTGATGAAGGAGTAAGACAATACTGCCTCCTTGCACTTTGTCTCTGTGTTGACTTACCATTCAACCATGAGCCAATTGGTCGCCTTTATTTGAGACTAACCTACAGAATGCAAGCCTCTATCTGAGCCCATACTTGGTGTCAAATGAGAATTTGAGGCACAGAGACTCAACTGGACACAGATCTAACAGTCACCGATATCTACTCTTCATGCTAAGATTAATCCAGTGTCCCACATTCCTACTGTTACGGTGGGTTTTCAGGAAGATTGCCAGGACCACACATACTTGCAGTGGGTACACCTGGACTGTCGCGCACTTGGTTGGGAGTCAGCTGTATTAAGATCACTACTGACCGAAAAGTCATGAGTTCAAAGCCAGCCCGGGTCAGAGTGAGCGCCGACCAAATTGTGTAGCTTCCTGTCGACCTTTGCAGCCCGAAAGACAGTTGCATCTGTCAAGTAGGAAATTTAGGTATCGCTTATGCAGGGAGGCTAATTTAACTAATTTATGACACCATAAAAATCTCCAGCAAGCATGCAAAGAATGAGGAAGTATTTCATCAGTGTCATGGATGGATGGATGGTGAAGCAACAGGTCCCCTGGTGGCCAAAATACCATCATCAAAAAAGCTGGAATGTTAAATAAACTCTGTGTCTGTCTATATATGTTGTGTGTCTATGGCATTGAATGTTTGCCATGTATATGTACATTGTAATCTACTGAGTCCTCTGCGAGGTAAGAAGGGCAGAATATAAATACTGTAAATAAATAAATAAATTTGCAAGGAAATGAATTGTCCCTTCTATATCCAAGCAATCAACCATCTATGACCTTAAAATAAAGAAGCAAACCTTGATTTTGTCATTTTATATAAGGGACACTATTTTTATATGCCATAGTATATAATGAGCATCCACAGATTTTGGCATCCATTGAGAGATCTTGAACCAAAGCCAAGCAGATACAAAGGACAGCTTTCTCATTCTTGCATTTCTCCCCTTAGCAGAACCTCTTACATTTCTACCTCAAATAGGATCAAAAAAGCACTAATTCTGTCTTTCATATGCCTACATCATGGTTACTGGCTTGCTATTCTTGGACTCCAGGTCCTATCAACCTTCCTATTCATGACCACTGATCAGAGAAGGGATGGTTACAACTCCACACTCACATCCCTGTAGTTTAAACATGCTAATATGGAAACAATGGACTCTTTCATAATGTTTAGCTATGAAAAAAAAAATCTCACCTTCTCTTTCTGGAGCACAGAACACAACTTTGGCTCCTTGGTGGACTGGGAAGAAAAAGAAGCAGGGTAAACGAATGCCAGACAAAATCTAAAAACTTTGTTCACACATGCACACTAATGGATTAAAATGGGGGAAAATATCCTAAATATACAATTGCAGATAAAGTACTGGAATCTCCTACCAGAAAATCTGAAATTCTCCAAAATCCAAAATCACCCACATAAATGGCTGAGACATTGACATCTATGCTTTCTCATGGTTCAGTGTACACATTTAATGAACAAAATTATTTAAAATAGCGTATACAATGATGTCCAAGCTATGTGTATATAAGGTGTATATGACACATAAAAGAGATTTGAGTTTAGGCTTGGGTTCCAAATCCAGTGTATGCACCGTGAGTTTTGGTGCATGTATTTTATAGCGATGTGTTCTGATATATATTTTTTCTTGGATGTATTTTATGTTGAAGTGTTTTGACTGTGCTGTATCCTTCCCCCAGCCACAAGTAGAGGCAGGTAACAAATTGTTGTTGTTGTTGTTATTATTATTATTATTATTAACCCTAAATTATTGTTGTTGTTATTAGCCACAGCAGCAACAATTCCAAAATCTGAAAAGAAATCCAAACTACTTATGGTCCCAAGTAGTTTGGATATAGAATATTCAACCTGTATTTCAGTTCAGCGCTATACCAGCCTACTCCAATAAGATGTCCAGATGTCCAATAAGATGTCTAGCAAACTACCGTATATTCTGGCATATAAGACGACTGGGCGTATAAGACGACCCCCAACTTTTCCAGTTAAAATATAGAGTTAAGATGACTCCCATGCATAAGACTACACCCGCATATAAGACGACCCCTGACTTTTGAGAAGATTTTCTTGGGTTAAAAAGTAGTCTTATACGCCAGAATATACTGTAATCATAAATAGGGATGAGGGGATGCATCATACCACAAATCCAATATCAGCCCAGAGAGCATTTAATTCATCTGTGTTTGGATTGCAATGGAAGGAGGAGGACCACCACATGTCTCCAGAGATCATCAAGGTCTTATTTTGCTTTTGTTTTTGTGTTGTGTCAAGAGTGACTTGAGAAACTGCAAGTCGCTTCTGGTGTGAGAGAATTGGCTATCTGCAAGGACATTGCCCAGAGGATGGCCGGATGTTTTTGTGGTTTTACCTTCCTTGTGGGAAGCTTCTCTCATTTCCCTGCATGGGGAGCTGGAACTGACAGAGTGCGCTCCACCCGCTCTCCTTAAATTCGAACCTGTCAGTCATCAGTCCTATCAACTCAAGGGTTTAACCCATTGCACCACCTGGGGCTCCATCAACATCAAGGTGGCTCATGGCATTTTGCTACCTGAACTGGAGACAGCAGAGTCTGTTCTCCTGCCTATTTCTGGAAGTGCATAGTTTTTAAAAGCGCTCCAATTATTTTGACACAGGAGGCAGGAAAAAAGTAGGACAAAGCCTAGATAAAAAGTAATCATGTATATATGATTATCTATGTAGTTTTATGATCTTAAATGTAATTCAATTAAAATTACCATGTGCATGTGTGTGTGCACATATGAATGGCATCTTACTTGCCAGGTTGTAACTAAAAGTTATCTACTAATATCATATTTTATTGAGTAATAGTCATGATAGTCATACCCCCATTTTTTCACTGAAAGGGTGGATAGAAAGCGAGACTATAATGCAGTTAAATACAGTATCAAAACCACTTTAACTGTTGTAGTGCAAAACTGTGGAATTCTGAAAGATCTGGATTTACAAGGACTTTAGTTTTCTCTGTCAAAGAGAGCTGGTGCCTTACCAAACAACAACTCCCAGGGTTCCATAGTTAGACCAAACTGCATTAATTCTGCAGAGTAGCTGCACCCTTTAAGCCTGTTGTTTGGTTATTTTAAAATAACTCCTACTTATAATACATTATTTTAATTCCCACCCCAGTTTTCTCTCTCTTTCTGTCTCTCAACTCACCAAATTCTCTGACAATGGCTTCACCGATGCCCCGGGTGCCCCCGGTTACTATCACCACCTTGTCAGGATATCGCAGCGCAGTTGCCATCGCAGCTCCTCTTGCAGTTCTGCCTGATGTTTCCCGCATCCAGCCGATCTTTTAAATACATACAGCAGCATGTAGTTTCCCCAACTGTGCACACACACCCCTCAAGATGCCGTGAGAGACTGAGCATTCCTTATCTGAAATTTTTGGGAACGGACGTGTTTTAGCTTTGGGCACTTTTCAGATTTTGGATATATTTGCATGTACAGAATGGGATATCTTGTAACATCTCAAGTATATGCAAGAAATTATGATTATTTTTTGTTTACACCTTGTACACAGAACAGCCTGAGGAAATTACTTGAAAGCGCACAAAGATCAATATCTCTTTGCGTCTGCAAACACAAAATCCAAGCATCTGAATAAGCGGTTTTGTCCAATTGCCACTGAAAACTTTGCCTCAGAAATGGAGATGTCCTCAGAAGCTCTTAAAACTGCTTGAGGTTAAAAAGAGACGTTTAATCAAGATCAAAGAGATCTAGAGGGTGGCAGTGGAGAAAATAATTTTCACTTATAATTATGTGAGGATTACAGTCAAAGATTGCGAGAAGGTGTGCCCAAAATTAGGGACACGATATTAAAGTAGCACAATAAGGGGAAAATCTAGACTAAAACATAAATTTTGCCTTATGCAGTAATTTAAAAGAAAACATGTATGGATAAGATATGGCTCCAAATAAGGTATCTACAAATAAATGTTTCTAAAAGTTTGTAAACGTTAGGATGCTGAGATAAAGGATTGTTTTCAGCACATTTTAAGGTAAATTTGGCAGTGTCACCAGAAATGTTTTGCTGAGCATGAAGGATAAGGCATTGGATAATAAACACGAACTAACTGGAAGTCAGCTGTTACTAAGAGTTCTATGGATTTTGAAGAGGCACAAATTGAGGGTGAAAGGGAGAAATGTATCAATGGGAAGGCGTGTCAGTCAAACCCTTGGAAACCTATGTCCTCACTGTGACAGACCATGCAGATCCAAAACTGATCTCCACAGTCACATACAGACCCACTGCCAAGAGACCCTTGGAAGCCTGCAGAAGAGAAGGCTGAGAGAAGATATGATAGTCTATATAAATAAAAATGTAATGTTCGTTTGTGGGATTAACAGAACTCAAAAACTACTGGACGAATTGACACCAAATTTGGACACAAGACACCTAACAACCCAATGTATGTCCTTCACTCAAAAAAAATGATTTTGTCATTTGGGAGTTGTAGTTGCTGGGATTTATAGTTCACCTACAATCACAAAGCATTCTGAACCCCACCAACGATAGAATTGGGTCAAACCTCCCACACAGAACCCCCATGTGGGCCACAGCAATGCGTGGCAGGGGACGACATAGTCATATATAAATATTTGAGAAGTCACATGTAGGAGTGGGCAAGCTTGTTTTCTGCTGCCCTGGAGACTAGGATGCAGAACAATGGCTTCAAACTACAGGAAAGGATATTCCACCTGAAAATTAGGAAGAACTTCCTGAATGTGAGAGCTGTTAAGCAGTGGAACTCTCTGCCCCAGAGTGTGGTGGAGGCTCCTTCTTTGGGGGCTTTTAAGGAGTGGCTGGATGGCCATCTCTTAGGGGTGCTTTGAATGTCATTTTCCTGCTTCTTGGTAGGAGGTTGGACTAGATGGCCCATGAGGTCTCTTCCAACTCTATGATTCTATGATTCTATGTCAATCATTCTTGACCATGAGTGATATATTATGATGGTTTTGATTTTTATGAATGGTCCCATTGGAAGTACAAATGGCTCTCTGTAGAATATGTCAATGTTATAGTTAAATTATTGCATAAGTTAACAAACCCATGCTTCCAGCTATGAACGAGTTAAACTATTGTAATGCGAGGAGCATGCACAGATCAAAGAGGAAGCCACACTTTATGTCACTACCACAGGCTGGGTTTGAATTAATTTAGTGATAAGGAACAATATATATGTTAATGGTAGCCATTACTCTTTCTCTTTTGACAACCATGCAGTAAGTTCAATTGTAAATAGCTGAAATGTAAATAAAGATAAAAGAGCCACTTAGTCAGCTAATTGGATAAGAATCAGCACCTTGGCCACCTCATTATCTTGATAGGATACACATAGGTCTTTGGATATGGATTGACTACAGCTACCATTATTCTCTGTAACACCCCCCCCCCCCCCCCGAGACACCTTGCCTGTATTTTCAGCAGGCCATGATGGGCATGTGTGCCAAGTTTGGTTCAGATCCATCATCCATAGGATTGGCATGGCTCTCTAAATATGGGAGGCATTCTAGAAAATGTATACATCCATCCATATTTTTTTACTTTTATTATATACAAAGATTTATGTTTTTAGTACTATTGTTTTAATATTGTGTTTGAGTTTTGGCTTAGAATGCAATTATCCTGCTTCTTGGCAGGGGGTTGGACTGGATGGCCCACAAGGTCTCTTCCAACTCTATGATTCTAGTTTAGCTATAGTCTTTGCTTCTTTTCCCCTTTTTTGTTTCTCTCATCTTCTTTGCTTCTGAATGTTAGTGTGATTGTCTACATTAAAGAATAATTATAAAAAGAAGTTCTTAATACTCTGATTATCCAGAAATCCTGAAGCTTCAGCACAGCTTAGACCCACCTGGCATCCGGTTATTATAGTGGTCTGAGTTTTGGACTAGTACTTCAGGAAACCAGGATTTGAATTTCCACTTAACCATGGAAACCTTCAGTGTAACCTTGAGCAAGTGACACTCTCTGTCTTATAGTGAGGCAATTACTGTATAAAAGGAAACCCTAGTCTGGGATCACCTTAGGGTGCCTTAAAATGCAGAATGACATCTTAGTTTAGTATATGGAGTGCATAGCTATGGTGCCTAGGGTTAACAGGGATTGTAGTCCAGAACATTTGGAGAGCACCAGGCTGAAAAATCCTGTTGTTTTAGGACTGGGGAGATGTGGTTTCCAATGACATTTCAGCCAGTTTCTCTCAGCCTCAACCTTCCTCATAGGGTTGATCTAAAGCAGTGGTTCCCAACCCTTTTTTGACCAGGGATCACTTTGACCAGAGACCATTTTGACCAGGGACCACTCTCCAACGTTAGTACCAAAAGGGTTATGAATCAGTTTATTTATTATTTACTTACTTACTTACAGTATTTATATCCTGCCTTTCTCCGCCTGAAGGCAACTCAAGACGGCTTACAAGTTGGCAGCAATTTGATGCCACAGCAGACATAAAATATAGTTTAAAAACATATAGCATATAATATAAAATCATACAAAGAACCATTAGAAAACATAAATCATCAACATTTTATTAAATTCATTTTCCAATCGCATCATCTAAGCCATTCCGTAGTTCCATATTTACCTATTACGCTGCATTTGCAAAAGCTTGTTCGAAGAGCAGGTTTTGACTTTTTTGCAAAATGTCAGGAGGGAGGGAGCCACAGCTAGGCTCCTATCCCTAGGGAGGGCATTCCACAGCTGAGGGGCCACCACTGAGTAGGTCCTGTCTCTCGTCCTTGCCAGACGCACCCACAAAGGAGGCAGGACCAAGAGCAGGGCCTCCCCAGGTGATCTTAAAGTCCTAGATGATTCATAAGGAGAGATACGTGCGGACAGGTAAGAGATACGTGCGGACAGGTAAAGCTTTTGGTCAACTTTAGATTCAGTTTCGTTATTTGGCGTGCCAATTCAGAAAACTGCATTGGATAGACCACATCGGCTCTAGTTTCTGATACAGAGCATATGCCATCCAGTAGTTGCCATCTGCTCACCTACAGAAAACCATATATAATAATCTAGAGCTGATGTGGTTTATCCAATGCAATTTTCTGAATCAGTACCCTAAATAACTCCAGGAATAGGCCTAAAAATGAAGACACCAAGGTGCCCCCACTTCCAGGTGCCACACCACTCAGGGGGAATGAGGAGGAGAAGCAGCAGTCAGGAGGCTTATTGTTGTTTTTGTGGGTAGTCAGCCTCTCCCCTGCAGACATCTCCATTACTTCAGCACTATAAGAGGGTTTCACGAGACCAGTTGCTCTTGTTATGGTATAGTAACAGTGAGGCCGCAGATCATATTTTAGTTCTTGGAGACCATTGATGGTCCACGGACCACAGGTTGGGAACCACTGATCTAAAGAGAGATGGTAAAGAAGGGAAATAACAAGATATGCCACTCTGAGTTCTAAAGTAGATTAATGTTGAAATATTAAATGCAAATTAAAAAGGCACTGTTCTTTTCTTCCCATGCCTATTAGATGAAAGTCTCTTTGAGATACAAAGCATAACTGTAATCCAAGAAGTGTGAAGGAAAGCACAATCAAATACAACAAGGCTTTGAAATAAGAAAAGCCGAACACGGAGATGTGTAGCATTAAATGTTTATTGAGTATACAAATTGGAATTGTTCACATATGAGAAGACGGCTTTGGTGTTGTTAGTTTTAAAATACAAAGGGGAAATTGCAGCACACATTTCCTTGGGTGGGAACAAGTATTCATCCAGGGATTCAAATTTTCCCAATCCTTCCTTATACTCCCAATATTAAGAAACCTTTACTTTTGGTGTGTGGGATGCTGTTGCAGCAGGGATAACTCCTCCAGTCTGCCTCACTCTGGGGTCTCTTGACCTTTTTTTGATCTAGGAAAGGGGTCTTGTGGAAGGGGATTTTACAGTCCAAATTTAGGGACAGTTTTCTAAAACTCACACTAAATTTCCATCTGAGAATACAATGGGAAGGGACTATTTCTTGGCAGAGCTCTGGGTTGGAGAAGCAAAGATGTGGTTGGAAGAGAACACCATGGTGGAGCAATGGACACCTCCTCCAACAATTGGGCAGTGATTGCTCCATTAAACCTTCAAAGTGGTAGCAGATGAAGTAGAATTACCTTGAAGACTTGTAATCCAGCTTCTGAAAGAGGAGAGTCACCTTCACCCCTGCCCTCTACCTCAGCTACTCCATCAGCTTCCTTCTCAGTCACTTCTCCTCTGATACAAGTCCTTTCCCAGGCTCTTTGCAACCACGATAGCTCTCTAATCAATACTTGGATGAGTCACGGAGGAAACTGTTGTTAAAACCAAAAGTGATGATACTGCTTTTCAATTACAAAGTAACTTCTTGCCTCTTTCCTTACTCATTTCATGATTTGCAAGCTCCACCATCACCTCTCCAGATTCATTCTCCTGCCATCTACTTCCTCGCCTCTTTCTTAGTTGGTCTTTGGTATCTGAGTATACATCCATGCCTGGTAATCCATACCAGCACACAGTTTTCCTAGTCCACACAATTTCTATTCAAGGTGCTAGTTCTTGTTTTTTGTTTGTTTGTTTGTTTTTTGTTTGTTTTTTGGTGTCAGGAACAACTTGATAAACTCCAAGTGGCTTCTGGTGTGAGAGAATTAGCCATCTGCAAGGAGACTGCCCAGGGGACACCCAGATAGTTGATGTTTTACCATCCTTCTCTCATGACCCCGCATGAGGAGTTGGAGCTGACAGAGGGCGCTCAACCCACTCTCCCGGGATTCCAACAGCTGACCTATCAGTCAGCAGTCCTGCCGGCATGATAGTTTAACCCATTGCATCACCAGGGGCTCCATTCCTTTTTGCTAAGACTACACTACAGAAGATATCTCTTTTGCTTGCTGGGATAGGTATCCCCTAATACTGTATCTGAGACTATACAATGCCTGAATAATTCCTCCTCCTAGATCAATTAATAGTTTTAGTTTCCTCCATCAACCCTCAATTGTATGCACAGTGCCAACTCACCCGTCTCAATAAAAGACATCTTTGCCTTATTTTATTTTCCTGCCATTATACAACTTTGAGTGACTACTGAACTGCCTGGAAGCAAAAGTCACACCCCTCTTTTTTCAAAGTAGATATAATACTTAGCAAACTACAAGCCATCCAAAAAAATATCTGCTGCATCACCCTGTCAATCACCCTGAAAACACTAAAAATGCATCAAAGAGACAAAGATGCCTTGCAAAGCGATGTCAAGCCAAACCCACCTAGCAGAATGGGTTGCCGATATAGACATGCCTGAAAGTGCAAAACAACCCTCTATCCCAGTGGTTCTCAACCTGTGGGTCCCCAGGTGTTTTGGCCTACAACTCCCAGAAATCCCAGCCAGTTTACCAGCTATTAGAATTCCTGGGAGTTGAAGGCCAAAACATCTGGGGACCCACAGGCTGAGAACCACTGCTCTATCCCATACTCCATTCGTAGTATGATGCAGGTGGATAGTTCGTATACTGTTATATCCAGATAAATATGTATTTTTTTATTGGGTGCCTGCATGTAAGGCCCCTTCCACACACCTGAATAAAATTCCACAATATCTGCTTTGAACTGAGATATATGGCAGTGTGGACTCAGATAACCCAGTTCAAAGCAGACATTGTGGGTTATTCTGCCTTGATATTCTGGGTTACATGCTGTGTGGAAGGGTCCTAAGGAACATCTCTGTGATTCTGCAAACCAGAGCCCTAGGATTTAAGATAGCAATTGTAAAGCAAGGTTATATGATGGGGAATGATTCCTACTGTTTGGAGTGCTACACAAAGGGAGTGCTACACAATGGGAGCTGCCAATTTTGGGACTGTCAAGTCTGTGGCCCTTCACCACACTGCAGGACCCTGCCTTCTCTACCAATATGACTTAAAAACTGGATTTTGCCAATGTGACTTTGACAGGCCGTGCAATATCTCCAACATACCTCGCAACTTGGGGGGACTTCTGCTTACCTTTTGACCTGAGACGCCTGCCATGGGCTGGGCCCTGACTACCAAGAAGATTTTGCTCAGATGCCCACACCTCACAATCCCATGGTGGAGGAGAACCCCTAGAAAAAGACAACTTCCCATTGGCAGACTGAGGCAAAGGAGATCCCCGGTGAGGAATGTGAATCGTAGATGGCTTCTCATTGTTTGATTCTAGCAAACCAGGTGTCAACTGCGGAGTCTTGGGCTTTGAGGACAATTGGTTGTCTTCCTCAGCATGAGGATATGAGCGATTAAATGCTTCCAAAGTGTATGATATTTGATTGGCAGTTTGAGATGAAGATCGTGCCTGATTTGCTGGGCTGGAGGTACAGCTTAGGTTTCGTGGGGCTCTTTGGTCATGCTCAGATATCTTATTTCTGGACTCTGAGTCTTTGGAGGTGGCATTACTGGGAAGGTGATGATGGCTCAAGTTATCACGGGATGCAGAGATGTCATCAAGAGAGGAGTGAGAACTGGTGCTTCCTGGGCAGGGAAACAAAATCACAAAAATCCATCCATCATTTAGACACTTAAGTTCTGTGACCACCACACATGATCAATTGATATAGATATAATAATGGTTGATTCATAGGCTACAAGATGTTCTTGACTAGAATTGTGAACCCACAACGACTTGGATTATATCCAAGAAACAAGAAACAAGGAGGTTTTGTCAGACACCTGGTGTGTTCCACAGTTTCCCTTTTGGTAGCTATTCTAATGTGATCTTGTCAATAGCAACTTTATTCCTGGCTATTCCGATGTGTCTTTGGAGAGTGTCCATTTATCCCGTTTCTGTCTGTTCCATCTACAGTGTTGCCCTTATGATGCACTTTCCCCTGTTCTAAACTGAAAATCTAACCCCACTGCTCATCCTTTTTGGGCTCCTCTCAAATGCACTTTTCCCACTCCTACCTCACCCAGGGTTTCTCAGTTTACCTGTCCAGTTGAACCGCCCATTGTGTTCGATTTTATATTATGTTATTTTGCTTTATTTTATTTTGCTATTGTATGTATTTTATTGTGATGTATTTTATTGTGATGTAATTTTTGTTGTTTGCACTTTGTATTTTATTTTGCTGTATTGTATCTTTGGGCTTGGCCTCATGTTAGCCGCCCTGAGTCTCCTTCAGGGCGATGGAGGCAGGGTATAAATAAAGATTGCTATTATTATTAATATTTGAAACAACACAAGATGAGTCCACTCTGCTGGCTGTTGTATTGGATCACGCATCGGACACTTCCCAAGTGTCTAAGACTGTGTGATGTATCGGTGATGTAACTACAACTCCCAAATGACAAAATCAACCACCACCACCCCCCACAAACTCCACCTGTATTCAGATTTGGGTATATTGGCTATTTGTGCCAATTTTGATCCAGTGAATGAAAATACATCCATATCAGATATTTACATGACAATTCATAACAGTAGCGAAATTACAGTTATGAAGTAGCAATGAAAATAATGTTATGGTTGGGGGTCACCACAACATGAGAAACTGTATTAAGGAGTCATGGCATTAGGAAGGTTGGGAACTACTGATTTAAGTAAGCCCAGTAAGTCACAGAGCTTCTTGCTAAGTACCTGCAATGCGTTTCTCCCGCTGTTGCGAAGCCTCTGCTGCCAGTGCATAGGAAAGCTGGATGACTCGTTGTCTTTCCCACTCAGGGGTTGGGGAGGATCGAGAAGGCTTGAGTCCCCCAGTTTGCATGCTCTCCTTGGGTGATGGCTCTGGGGGGCTATTGGGGAGGGGCTAAAGGAGAGATTAAATCCCGGGAAGGGGAGGGGGGCATGAGCAAGACAGTTCTATCTGTGCCCCGTTCTATCTGCATCCCCTCCCCACCACATCTCCAAAGAACACCCTTTGCTACAAAGCAATTAATAACATCAACAGAGACAGTCCTTGTAGTTTTAATTAAAGAGTTGGCGAACAATTCCAAATAACTGGATAAAGTAGAGATTGGCTAGGGTGCTCAATCTCACCCCTTTCCCAAACCTTCCTCAGACCCTAATCCAATTGCTAATCCCAAAGGGAATACACTCAGCCCTCCACATTCACTGGGGTTATGAGCACTAGACTTTTCACAAACAAAACCCTCACCCTTTTTCAACCTGAGAAAAAAACTCTCCAGGAATCTTTAAATCAATGGCTTTCATGGCTGGAATCACTGGGTTGTTGTGAGTTTTCCAGGCTATATGTTCCAGAAGCATTCTCTCCTGACATTTCACCCACATCTATGGCAGGCATCCTCAGAGGTTGTGAGGATTCCCCCAGGCAGGTAGCAACCAGTCTTTGAAGCTGCATGGTCATTCAATGCTAATCAAGGTGGTCAATTGCAACATTCACACTTGCCTCAAGCAGACATGAGTTCTTTCTCCCACTCTGGACATTCCATAGATATATAAACCTCCCTTGCATAGTTTCTAACAGACCTACAACCTCTGAGGATACCTGTTATAGATATGGTCGAAACATCAGGAGAGAATGCTTCTGGAACATGGCCATACAGCCTGGAAAACTCACAGCAACCCAGTCTTTAAGCCTCCTAGCACAACTGCAGTACAACAGTTGACAGTCATGACTGAAAATCTAAGGATTCCTAGAGAGCATATTATTCATATCAGTGAATAATCAAATCTGCAAAAGTGAAACTTACAAATGTGATGGGCTGACTGTATAGACATTGAATCTACTGCTGAATAGCAAGCAAAACTATTCAACAGCTCTCAACTATATGGGACTAGCAACTGGGTTTAGGCCCATGGTATCTTATTCTATGTTTTTAAGGATCCGATAAGCCCAACTTCCTTCAGTACCAGAAAACCAAGGATCCTTGGATTTTCATTTTGTATGCCTCATATTGTCAGGCTTTCCCACTCCTTCATAGAGACTGCAAAAATCCTACTTTCTCGCCCGTCACTCAATGGAAGAAGGAAACCCATAAACCTATCCTCATTAGCAGTGCCCAGTATATATTGCCCCATCCATTTATGTATCATAGAAGCTTTCCTAACCTATCCACCCACCACCAACAACCACTTTGCAGCAGTGGTTTACTAGAACATGGACTTCCCAAACTGCCAAGGCTTTTTTTGGATCAGTGGGGACAATGGCGTCATCTAAACCCTTTCTGGTTTCCCTTTTCCATGGTAAATGGAGCCATAAACTTATTAAGGTAGAGGGAAAACAGATGTTTCTAGCAAGAATATGTTGTTGTGAGCTCTCCCTGTTGTAATACAAAGTATGAAGGCTTGGTCTGAACACTTAAAGTCCATTAGCTTTCCCATTGGTTTGAGCATTGAGCAATGACTTTGGAGACCAGAGTTTGACTCTCCAAGGTAGTCATGGGCAAACTTTGGCCCTCTGGGTGTTTTGGACTTCAACTCCCACAATTCCTAATAGCTCATGACTGCTCCAAGGTCACCCAATGGAAATCCACTGGTTGACCTTGGGAAAGTCAAACTCTTTCAGCCTCAGAGGAAGGCAAAGGAAATCCCATGATACGATCACTGTAGGTCAAGACAACTTGAAGGAACACAACAACAAAGCTTTACTACAGTTCTGCTACTGGTGGAAATGAAAATCTGCTAGAATTGGTTTGTGGTTAGATATTAAGAGAGCTGCCTGCTTTTTTCAAACTCTTTGAGCAGAGCAAACTTCAGATTGGAATGATCCGAATATCATTCAAAATATACCACTACACCACTGCTCCCCAGACTAGAAGAATCAAAGCCTTGGTGACTCAAGAAAAAGGACGGCTGAGACCTTGTCGCTGCCTCTTGCCACTCTCTCAAGTCCAGAGTCTTCCTCCCCACAAGGCTTGACACCCACCCGGCTAGACCCACGTTTGAGAGACTCTCGGCAGGGACCCGGAGGGTTGGACTGGGCAGCTTCTGCTTTTCTTTTGGCCTCCTGATTCCTCTGCATCCTGATCAGCTGTTCCTGAGCGCTCATGCGACCACTGCGAGGGGCACTCGCTTCCGAGGGAGCCACCTGGAAGTGGAGGAAATCAAAGATTAGGAGGAATTCATTCTGTTACAGTTTACTTTTCTTTATTCAGAACTAACTGGAATAGTTATTTTTTAAGACTCTAAGCTACATATGCCCTGAAAATATAAAAGTAACTTGAAACTGTTACTGTTACATTGCTGAAGATCTACAGCAGTGTTTCTCAACCTGGGCGTTGGGACCCCTGGAGGGGTCGCGAGGGGGTGTCAGAGGGGTCACCAAGGACCATCAGAAAACACAGCATTTTCTGTTGGTCATGGGGTTGTGTGTGGCAAGTCTGGCCCAATTCTATTGTTGGTGGGGTTCAGAAGGCTCTTTGAATGTAGATGAACTATAAATCCCAGCAACTACAACTCCCCAAACTCCACCAGAGTTCACATTTGGGCATATTGATTTTCATGCCAAGTTTGGTCCCAATCCATCATTCTTTTGAGTCCATAGTGCTCCCAGGATTTAGGTGAACTGCAACTCCCAAACTCAAGGTCAATGCCCACCAAATCCTTCCAGTATTTTCTGTTGGTCATGGGAGTTCTTTGTGCCAAGTTTGGTTCAATTGTTGGTGGAGTTCAGGATGCTCTTTGATTGTAGGTGAACCATAAATCCCAGCAACTACAACTCCCAAATGACAAGTTCTATTTCCCCCCAACCAGTATTCCAATTTGGGTGTATCAGGTATTTGTGCCAAATTTGGTCCAGTGAATGAAAATACATTCTGCATATTATATATTTACATGACAATTCATAACAGGAACAAAATGACAGTTATGAAGTAGCAACAAAAATAATGTTATGGTTGGTGGTCACCACAACATGAGGAACTGTATTAAGGGGTTGCTGCACTAGGAAGGTTGAGAACCACTGATCTGCAGGCAGTCCCTGGGCTACAAATGACTGATAGTTAAGAACAGGAGTGAGACAACAGGAATTGGGAGGTAATCTACTCCTAGGAAGAGAAATCTGTTGGAGTACGTAAGAAATCAATTTGTTTGTGTATATGTGTGTGTGTGTATGCATGCATGTATGTCAACTGTAGAATAAGACTCAGGAAGCTGATTGGTCTGGCTGAGCCTGGGACTTTTGGATACTGTTACATTCTTCAGGCTCAATAAAGAAGCTCTTTATATTGTATTTTTACATGAATCACTTTTTAAAGTAATTTAATTTTCAGATAAATAAACAAACACATCTTCACCCGTCTATTCAGTCTGCTATCTAGATTCTTTTTCTTAATCCAAATAGATTATTTTGTACCTTTGCGATGCTGGGCTCAACATCTTTGCTTAGATGATTAATGTGATTGCCATGACCTATGGAGAGAAAGGAAGACAAGAAAAACACCCCTTTAACTTTTAAGCCTTTCGTTCCTAGGGCAATTTTCCTGCCTTTCCTTAGATTCTACTTCTACAATGGAAGCAATGAGTCCCAAAGCCATTCTCGCATGTTCTTTTTTCTTCAGGGTTTATAAAACTCCATCTCCCAAGACTAGCGCAGGATAAACATTGCTTCAGAGAAATGAAATCTTGTTCCTCTTGTTTTTAAACAAGGAGAATGCAGAGTGGAAGTGCAGAGAGGAAAAGGGAACTGTGGATAATTTTAAAAGATGAACTGAGGGAACAGCTTTAAATAAACGAAAGTACTGAGGAACAAAAAGGAAGAAATTGCTTCCGCATTATGCCCCCCTTGATCGGACTTCTTCAATCACCAGGCACATGGGTCTACTGGACGGCCTGGCGCCAGTATCGGTAACCACATATTGGGTCTTGGTAACTGCAGCTCAAGTTCCTGTATCCGTGGCTCAGATCTCACTATCTGCGGCCGCTTTAAAGTGCTCTATTTAATAGTCACATTTTGTCATCTGTTCATTTTGCTCAGCTGGCCAACTGGGCTTCTTTGCTCACCAGGCACATGGACCTTCAGGATGGCCCAATGCTGGTACTGGCAACCGCGTATTGAATCTTGGTAACTGCAGCTCTGGATTCAGTATCCACGGCTCAGATCTCACTAGCCACAGCCACTTTAAAGTCCTGTATTTCATAGTCATATTTTGTCTTCTGTTCATTTCGCTCAGCTGGCCAAGTGGACTTCTTTGTTCACCAGGCACCTACAGGATGGCCTGACAATGGTACCGGTAACTGCATATCAGGTCTCAGTTACTGCGGCTCAGGTTCCAGTATCCACGGCTCAAATCTCACTATCCGTGGCCACCTTAAAGTGCTCTATTTCATAGTCATAGAATCATTGAATCAAAGAATCAAAGAGTTGGAAGAGACCTCATGGGCCATCCAGTCCAACCCCCTGCCAAGAAGCAGGAATATTGCATTCAAAGCACCCCTGACAGATGGCCATCCAGCCTCTGTTTAAAAGCTTCCAAAGAAGGAGCCTCCACCACACTCTCGGGCAGAGAGTTCCACTGCTGAACGGCTCTCACAGTCAGGAAGTTCTTCCTCATGTTCAGATGGAATCTCCTCTCTTGTAGTTTGAAGCCATTGTTCCATGTCCTAATCTCCTTGGAAGCAGAAAACAAGCTTGCTCCCTCCTCCCTGTGGCTTCCTCTCACATATTTATACATGGCTATCATATCTCCTCTCAGCCTTCTCTTCTTCAGGCTAAACACATTTTGTCTTCTGTTTATTTTGTTCAGCTGGCCAATCAATGGAACAAAAGTCACACTCATCAAATTGAGGGAGTTGTGTGTTCGGCCAAAACTAATAAAATGGATTTCATTGCCCCCTGCCTCTGGCCATCATCATTTTGTATGTATAAGTATAAATCTTTTTACCTAAAATTTCCAGACTTATACTTGCATATATACAGTAAGTAAATACATACATTCTGCATAAATAAAACAGAGTGGAATATAATTTTTCTAAAGCATTTTTAGCGGGTTTGTTTTTAGTTTATTTCTTAATAGACTACCTGCCTCTCCTCATGGCTTGGGGCAGGGAACAACATAATTAAAACAAAGAGATAAATTTGCCATATTAGGGTTTGATTGCATTCCCCTCACTGATTGTACTCAGATTAAAAATCAAGAAGGCACCTTAGATGTGCTTTTCCATATCTTACTCACCTAGGCAAGCTGCATCTGTTCCCCTCATGGCATGTCCTTTCTCCGATTCTGGGGGGTCACCAGAGTTTTGGGACCTTCGAATCCCCTCCAAACAGCGTGACATATTCTCTCGCTGCTTCCTGCTAGAGGTAGGTGGGCTCCTCTGGCAAAGAATCCAAAAGACATCCATTTAGGAAATACAAGAGAAGGAAAACAGGGCTAGGGAGGAGAAATGAGCAGGAAATCACAGCCCAGACTTACAGGCAGATCTCTTCCACTGAAAGCATCCTGCTGCCTGTTTTCTGACTGGCGAACAACTCGGGCTGAGTCCCCTGAGACTAAGACATGGCTGGATGTGAATTCGTGGAAGGTGAGGTTGGATTTGGGTGGAATGGCCGTTTCAGATTCCTTCTAGTTTCCATAAATAAGAAAATGAACATAAATTAGTGACACAATCACTGTGTTTCTGTTTCGGGAGGGTGAGGGGAGAATCCATATCAATGAATCATTCTTAAGTCTGAAAACAATATGACATAATCAGATAGCTGGCAAAAGGCCATCCAGTCCAAACCCCTGCCATGCACAAAACGGACAATCAAAACACTCCCAACAGATGGTCATCCAGCCTCTGCTTAAAAAGCTCCAAGAAAGGAGATTCTGCCACTCTGTCACAGCTTTTTGAGGACTTTAAGATCATCTGGAGAGGCCCTGCTCTCGGTCCCGCCATCATCACAAGCACGGCTGGTGGGGATGAGAGACAGGGCCTTCTCAGTGGTGGCCCCTCGGCTATGGAATGCCCTTCCTATGGAGATTTGATCGGCTTCTTCACTTTTAGCATTTCGGAAAAAACTCAAGACATGGCTATTTGAGCAGGCATTTGCGAATACTGAGTGACAGACATAAGAACATGCCACAACCACAAGATGGGATTGGACATTGTTTTAATGAGTACTTATTGAATTATGTTTTATTACAGTTGTTATGATTTTATTGATCTTAAAGTTTGTATATTGTAATTGTGTTTTTGATGGTATTGAATTTTGTCTTGTAAATTACCTCAAGTCACCGGAAGGCTGAGAGGGACGGTGTACAAAAACAGTAAATAAATAAATAAATAAATTTTCCCATTGTGATGTCTCTAGATGAGGCAGACTACATCTCTCAGCACCCTCCACCAGTCACAGCATCTAAAAGACACCACCATACACCATGGCACTCCATTTCTGTGCTGGTGAGACTGTGTTTCCCCGTGAGGCAAGAGACTATGTTGACAGCAGCAACATTTCTGCTAAGGTCTCTCATTATTATATGGACTCCTCAAAGCAAGCTAAATGCCCAAATGATACCCTTACTATGGTTTGTATCCCTTTAAATCCAAAGATCAAACAATACCTCTGTTCCATTGTGATTTGTTCCCAGGTGAGAATCCAGGGCTGGTATCATGACTGAAGACACGTCTACAGTGGAAAATACAAAATATACTAATGAGATATATATACACACACTTTACATTGATGATTGTATGTCAACAGGCCACCCTCTATCAGTATTGTTAAAAGGACGGGATTAGGCACCTGATCGTCTGTTTTCCAGGTTGTGATAGTTTACTGTACTGCATCTCAATCCTGCCAGGATGTCATGGATCCGCCACAGATCTTGCTGAGCAGCGGTTTGGTCCTAAAGAAGAATGAATCAGACCAAAAGAGATAAGCTAAATCAGTGTTTCATCTCCATTCATCAATCCCGTTCCATATATGGAATCTATGGAACTCCCTCCCGAGAGAAATTAAATTGCCCTCCTCCCTTCTGACCTTCAGGAAAAAACTAAGCCATGGGAACAAGCTTTTGGTCAGTAAGCAGCGCAGTAAGAGACTACAAATAATGGAATGATGACTCGGGTTGGCCCTGGAATATGATTTGGATTTTGTGATGTTAACTGATGTTTTAATGTTTATGTTTTTAATTGGGTTGATTTTAATGCACTTATTTATTTACCAATATGTAGGTGTATATACGGCATTGAATTTTGCCTTTGCGAGGCTACCCTGGGTGAGAAGGGTCAGGTACAAGTGTGGTAAATACATAAATAATAAATATAATCTCTAAAGTGACATTTTAGGCTCTATCTAGGAGCAATTATGTCCTGGCAGCCAAAGTTTCGTTGTACAGAAACTAGTTATCAGATATCTTTCCATCATTTGTGGGCTTTTTTTTTTTGTAATTACTCTACAGTTCTCATTACAGCAGATAAACTAGAAACATGAACCCCAAAAATGCAGGGAAAGAACCAAAGAGGTTAAACAGAGAAAGAAAAGAGGAATGCAATATTCGGCACAAGTTTCCTCTCCCTGCCCCAAAATCAACAAAAAGGATAACCAAATCAACAGGGATAATACACATAGAACAATAAAATAATACGTAGGCAGTGCAAGGCTCAAAATTAAACTGCCAAGTAACAGTGACCAGGAATAGTCTTGCATCTAGTTTATAAGTGCTTAAAACTTTATATACAAGGGTTATCCGGAAAGTAAGGTTACAAGTTTTGTAAAAAAAATACTAAGAATGAATATATTTTAATAAGACTTACATGGATTGTAACATAGGTTGTTGTTTATTCGTTCAGTCGCTTCTGACTCTTCGTGACCTCATAGACCAGCCCACACCAGACCTCTCTGTCAGCCGTGGCCACCCACAGCTCCTTCAAGGTCAAGCCAGTCACTTCAAGGATACCATCCATCCACCTTGCCCTTGGTTGACCCCTCTTTCTTTCTCCTTCCATTTTCCCCAGCATAATTGTCTTCTCTAAGCTTTCCTGTCTTCCCATTATGTGGCCAAAGTACTTCATCTTGGCCTGTAATATCCTTCCCTCCAATGAGCAGTTGGGCTTTATTTCCTGAAGTATTGACTGGTTGTATCTTCTCATGGTAACATAGGTATTACATTATTTTTCCAAATGATCACCATTCAGTTCAATACATTTTGTCATCCATGGGACAAGTTTTTGATGTCTGTGTCATAGAAGTTTCCCACTGCCTTTTTCAGCCAGTTCGTCACTTCAATTTTCACCTTGTCGTCATCGGAAAAGTGTTTTCCATCAAGGTGTTCCTTCAATTTAGTGAAGAGGTGATAGTCACTGGATGCGGGATTGGGGCTGTGAGAGGGGTGGCTTAAAACATTCCAACCAAATGAAGTCAACAACTCTTGTGTTGCATGAGCGGCGTGCAAACATGCATTGTCATGAAGCAGACAGACTTCTGACATCAGCATCCCATGACGTTTGTTTTGGATGGCTCTGCAAAGTTTCTTCATGGTTTCACAATATATTATTTACCCATTTTGTCACTTGCTGTCTTGACATTACATCCTCTCCAAAAAACTGAAATGATTTCGTGATGAATTGCAGCGGTGTTCATGCCCTTAGCATTTAGGTAGAGTATTACAGCACGAACTTTAAACTTGGAGGGAAACGAAATGAGGATGCTCATCTCTAGCCTTCACCACAACACCAGTCCGATGACTGTCACTGCTCACTCACTTCCGCTGGCTTACCGCTACACAGCAGCGATACCAATTTCCCCCGAGAAAATTCCTTGGAAGAGCTACATGCCTTGTAACCTTACTTTCTGGATAACTCTCATACATAAAATTTTAATTTTTTAAATGCAAACCAATTTGGTATGAACAGCAGTGTTAAGTCATCACAGCCAAAGCTGGTGTTTCATGCAAAACATTTCACAACTTTAAAAACATTTATGTTTATAAATAAAACAATCTGCACAAAAGCAGGAAAAGAGATCAACATTAGCATAGTTTATTCATCTTACAAGCTGTGGCTTTTCAGAGTTTCATCTTTTGTTGTTCGTGTTCTGAAAGTATGTGGTGTGTATTAATTATTCAATGAGTCCTTTCATTGAGGCTGTTAGACAGAGATTTGGATGTGGAAAGTATGTACCTGGGGATGCCCTACACTCCGGATATGTTCTAAGGAGCCCTTCAGCATTTGCAGTTCGGATTCGAGGGCAGTATAATCCTCCCAGGCTCGTTCACTGTCCTGTGCAAAATTTAAAACAAAACTGAATGTACAAAAGCTTATGTCACTACCTTCTCTCACTCAGTCAGTCTTAAAGGTGGTACCAGTTCCCTATGTAAATTAATATAGATTAACATGGTTATGTCTTTTAATATAACACATTACCCAAAATCCATAGGACAGCAATACTTTTATTGACTTCACTGAATTCATCAAACAAAGATATCAAAAATCATACGGGGGAGGAAAAGTAACCATGGTCCCTTCTATACTGCCATATAATTCAGATTATCAAAGCAGATAATCCATGTTATTTATTTACTTACAGTATTTATATTCCGCCCTTCTCACCCTCAAGGGAACTCAGGGCAGATCACAGAACACACATATACGGCAAACATTCAGTGTCGTTTATAAACTGAAAAGACAGACAATTGTATATAGATAGAGGTATATATAGGCTTTTTTCATCTTCGGCATCTTGGAGGCCTGGGCTCAGTTCCAGCCACCGGGGGGGGGGGGGGTTTAATCCTGACATTTTTCTGGCATTTCCTTATGGGTGCCTTAAATATCTCTCAACTTTTTAAGCGGTACCTATTTATCTACTCACAATTTGCTTTCAAACTGCTAAGTAGGCAGAAGCTGGGCTAAAGGCCAGGAGCTCACCCCGACCCAGGCTTTGAACTGTCAACCTTTCAATTGGCAAGATTTACTGCATATAGATTAACCTGCCATATAATCCAGTTCAAAGCAGACAATCTGAATATTGCACTGTAGAAGGGTCTCACATTAGAGTTAAGGGCATACACTTTGCCTCTGATGTTATTTCTATTGTTAGTGCTTGATGAAGAAGGCAGCAAACATGATGTATTTTACGAGACTGCCTAGAGTAGAGTTCTAATTAAATAATGCAGCATGAAGGCATGGTGTTATTTGTATTTAAAAAGCCTCATTAAATATTCCAAAAACACATATCTTCTTTCTATTCCTAACTGGCTGCCATCCTGGCTGGAAAGCCACTCACCAGCGCCAGGTCGCAGAGACGAGCTCGGATTTGCACCAGTTCATCTTGCAGCTGTCTTTGCTGGAAGCCAATTTTCTCCATCGTGGCGTCTTGACCTTTACATTCCTCCAGCCTCAAACGTGTCACCTCCAAAGCCTTTTCCAGACGTTCCTGGGAAAGCAGCAGCCATTTTAGGAATAAACAGGATTTTTGGGGGGTATATGTGAGATATTAAAACACCCAGAACTCTCAGGTTAAGAGGATTCTGGCAGCCATCGTCCCCAAGTCTAGGCCTAAACCTTCCTTGTGTGAAACCTGCAAGATCACAGATGAAACTCATCCCAGGAAAGTTCGTGCAACCTTCCACATCCTGGTTCCCTCAAGATGTGCGGCACAACAACTAAGTTTGCACTCATAAAACTGGTATATACAAGGATCCACAAGCTGTTGCATCACAAGCTGTTGCATCACAGCTTCTTGCATTCTACATCACTGTCTATTTCAGCTAAGTCTTCTGGAACCTATAGTCTAACCATATCAGGATGCAAAATTCTCATCCTATCATATACTGGTATTACACATGGAAGGATATGTTTGAATTTCTTTTTAAATTATTACCTACATCAAGACGAGTAACAAGTTGTTGTTGTTGTTGTTGTTGTTGTTATTATTATTATTATTATTATTATTATTATTATTATTATTTTATCTCCACATAATAAAAAGTGAAAAATCAGAGGGATTTGCAGTATTGCTTGATAGAAAACACTAGAAATACCACTATATGTGACTGAGCCATCATGTTGCCTGTTGATTTAGGACACTGGTTTTCAACCTTCCTAATACCGCAACCCATTAACACAGTTCCTCATGTTTTTGGTGACCCTCAATCATAAAATTATTTTCATTGCTACTTCATAACTGCTACTGTTGTGAATCGCCCAAATTTGAATACTGGTGGGATTGTGAAGGGATTGCTTTTGTCATTTGGGAATTGCTGGGATTTATAGTTCACCTACAATCAAAGAGCATTATGAACTCCACCAATGATGGAATTGAACCAAACTTGGCACACAGAACTCCCATGACCAACAGAAAATACTGGAAGGGTTTCATGGTCATTGACTTTGAGTTTTGGGGTTATAGTTCACCTACATCCAGAGAGCACTGTGGACTCGAACAATGATGGATCTGGACCAAACTTGGCACAAATATGCCCCAATGTGAACACTGGTGGAGTTTGGGGAAAATAGACCTTGACATTTGGGAGTTGCAGTTGCTGGGATTTATAGTTCACCTACAATCAAAGAGCATTCTGACCCTACCAACGATAGAATTGGGCCAAAATTCCCACACAGAACCCCCATGATCAACAGAAAATACTGTGTTTTCTGATGACTTTTGGCAACCATTCTGACACCCACCTTGTGACCCCCTCCCCCCCAGAGGTCCTGACCCCCAGGTTGAGAAAGACTGATTTAGGACAATCCCGTTCATAGGCAATTTCATAGGCAAGAAGTGGGTTTGTTATTCCCACCTCTATGAAACATAGCCTATGGTAGTATTGGCAGTCTTCCATCCAAGTACTAACTACTGCCAATGCAAGTCACATGATCAGTTTCTTTGTGCAATTTGTGGTGACATTAAGGGATTATTTCATTTTGAAATAGTCAAGAGACAGCATGGTCCACTAAACTGATAAATAAATGAGTCTGAGAGTAAACCATTCCTGAATTTCTCTCGAAGTCAAAATGACTAAATTGGGGCTGTTATACTTTGGACATATCACGAGATGACATGTCTCCTTGTTAAAAAAAATGATAAAATGGATGAGACTAGAAAAAGAAGAAGACTAGCCTAAAGATGGATGAATTATGACAATGAGGCCCTCATTCTGGAGCTCTCCCATTTCTTGTTATAAGTGAAAGATTTGACAGATCTTAACCACTCCTCACAAATAACAACATCTTGGAAAGAAATTTCTGGAGGGACAGGAAACAACTCAAGAGAAAAGGAAATGGTAATATAGTACCTTTTCAGCCTGGAGCTGCCCAATTTCATCTTCAAAACCACGGAGAAGTTTGTCTTGGCCACACAGTTTTGTCAATAGCACCTAGAGTCAGAGACAGAAGTGAATTTGCATTAGGAGCCTCAGGATGCTTGCCGTAGATGCAGGCAAAACGTCAGGAGAGAATGCCTCTAGAACATGGCCATATAGCCCGAGAAAACCTACAACAACCCAGATTTATATGTTGTTGTTTATTCGTTTAGTCATTTCCAACTCTTCATGACCTCTTGGAACAGCCTATGTCAGAGCTCCCGTCGCCACTCCCAGCTCCTTTAAGGTCAAGCCAATTGCTTCAAGTATAACATCCATCCACCTTGCCCTTGGTCTGCCCCCCTTCCCCTTTCCTCCCACTTTCCCCAGCATCATTATATTCTCCAAGCTTTCCTGTCTTCTCATTATGTGGCCAAAGTACTTCATCTTTGCCTCTAATATCCTTCCCTCCAGTGAGCAGTCTTGCTTTATTTCCCAGAGAATGGACTGGTTGCATATTCTTGTGGTCCAAGGCACTCTCAGAATTTTCCTCCAACACCACAGTTCAAAAGCATCACTGATTTATGTAGTGATTTATATATTTTGGTACTGTTCCATTATCCAAGCAGATGCCACTAGGGGGCATTAGAGAGAGAAGGATAGTTCATTTTATGAGGGTGGAGGGTGGGCTGAAGGAATAAAGTCATTTTCCTCTATTTTCCTATTATTCCTTCCACCCGTGTTCCTGTCATGTAAACAACCCTCATTTATGATATGGGAAGGGGGAATAATCAGGAAAAATGGGAGAAATGGTTTTCCTCCTTCAACTCTCTCCCCCTCCCCTCCCCCATAAAATGGACTATCCTTCTCTCTCTAGTGCCCTCTAGTGGCCTTCGGCCAGATAATGAAACAGTACCTATATTTTTAACCCTTTCCTCCACTTTCTATATGATTTGCAATTTTTTAAAAAATTAAATATTTGTATTGTAACAGCTCAATTTGTTTTGTAATGATTCTACTAAAATATCTGTGGTTGTCAAAATGTAGTTCATGTTACTGTGGACCAAGTCCTGGTACTAAAATATCTTCTAGGTATGAAAAGGAGAACACATACATCCGTATTAGTCTCAAAACGCTGCCCGCTGACAGGGTGGACATTCCTTTCCCGCACAGGAGTCCGATTCTGGAAAGACAACAAAACAAGAGATATATATGTCAGAAGAGTTAGTATGGTAGAAGTTTAAACATTGGACCATGACTCTGGCAGATCAGTTTTTGAATCCCTACTCAGCCATAGGAACCCAATGGACAACGACAACGATGATGATGATGATGATGATTATTATTATTATTATTATTATTTCCATGTCAGGAATGACTTGAGAAACTGCAGGTCGCTTCTGCTATGAGAGAATTGGCTGTCTGCAAGGACGTTGCCCAGGGGACGCCCTGATGTTTCGATGTTTTACCATCTATGTGGGAGGCGCTTCTTATGTCTCCGCATGGGAAGCTGGAGATGGCAGAGGGAGCTCATCTGTGTTCTCCCTGGATTTGAACCTCTGACCTGTTGGTCTTCAGTCTTGTCTGTACAAGGGTTTAACCCATTGCGCCACCGAGGGTTCCTACCCAATGGATGACCTTGGGCAAGTCACATAATCTCCACATCAGAGAAGAAAGGTAGATCCCATCTGAAAAAATCTTGAAAAGAAAACCCTTTGTCATGCAAGCATCTCTGGGGAAAAACAAACATAGCATCACCTGCAAAAGAGTCCTGTCTTTCCAGGTATAGGAAGATTTTTTTTTACTTCGGGAAGCAGTTTACCATTTTCATTCCAGTTTAATTCAAAGTAAACAGATGCCTTTTGTCAATTGGATAAGATCAGACCTACCTAACTGTGGCTTAGAATGTAACCCAGAAAGTCCCAAGTTCAAATGGCGCTTCAGCCAAGATTTGCTTTGGCAATCTGTTCTCTCAGTCAATTTAAGACTAATAATATTGACCTAACGTACACGTTTCTGGCAAAGGTTACTGAGGTCCCGTATATATAAAAGCATTCTTTGAATAGCTCAAAAGCAAGACAGAAATGTGACAAATGATTACGGATTGCCTGCAGGTCATTTAGATGTTTGAAAGGTAGTAAATGGTTCAGCAGTTCAGATTATTTTAATGCCAACTGATAGCCAGAAGATTGGTACCTGCTGAGTGAAGTTAAGCTGATAATTACTTTCTATTCTCCCTCTTCCCTCTGAAAAAAAAAACCCAGCAAAAAACCTGTTCCCAAAAACTTTTTTTTCCCCATGTCAGGAGCGACTTGAGAACCTGCAAGTCGCTTCTGGTATGAAAGAATTGGCTGTCTGCAAGGACATTGCCCAGGGGATGCCCAGATGTTTTACCATTGGTTCAAAGGCTGTTTTGGGAGGTGGGCACCCTAAAAATTAGAAGCATGCCCTCTCCGAAAAGGTATTAAAGGCAATTAAAACATATCTCTTCTGGATGCCTGAAATGACAAAGGAATTCCATGGCATAGTATTTCGGAATTCTACAGGCAGTCCAGCCAATGTGATCCTCCCAACTCCAAAACTGTTGTATCAATGATTTATAGCCTGCCTTCCTTTCAACAAGGCCAGAGGGGTACATACATAGCTCTCTTCCTACCCTCAGGTCCTCACAAAACGTCTCTGAGATGGGTCGGGTTGAAAGAAAGTGATGGGGTTAAGTTCATCCACTGTCCATCAGCCTAGCAACTATAACACAGATTTCGAATACCCTCCAATTGTCCTGATATGGCAGGGACAGCCCTGATCAATTGTGCCATCCCACTTTTGCAACTGTTTTTAAAATGTTTGGTTCACTGTCCTTCTCCTTCTGAGTCCCCTCGGGGAGATAGGACGGGTTATAAATAAAGGTTGTTGTTGTTGTTGTTGTTGTTATATTACTCACGTTGTCCTCAGCTTACTTTCGCTGTTACAGATTGAGTTCAAAACAAAAAAGGCATGTGCACTTAGTTAACTCAGCAAGGAAAAGAGGAGAACGAATGGAATATTGCCCTTTCCCATAGGCTCAGACAAAAGCAAACCACTGCAGCCTCTTTTAGTTTGTGTGTGCTTCTTCCTTAAGGACTTTTGCAAGGACTCTGGCATTACTTGGCTGTATGTGTTCCAGTTTTCATCTATTAAAGGTTGGCAGGTATGTGGTGCACAACCTGTGGCCTTCCAGGTGTTTGGGACTCCCAGAAGCACTGGCCAGCATGTCCAATGGTTCAGAGATACTGGGTCTCATCTCCATGATTCAACTACCATTGTTCTGATCTCTGGTAGAGAGAAGAGCAGCGGGCATCTGCTGGACTTAAACTCCTTCCATACTGCCATTTCCCTTTCCTTGCAGGGAATTTTCAAATTAATAATATTTAAGCAGCTCTGGGAGCCCTATTGCCTGAACAATGGAGGATAATTCTAAACAAGCCAACATCAACATTGGTCTTTACACACTGGAAGGTTAATGCTGTAAGTACATGCTGGCAGAAAACTGGGATATAAATAATCATCACCATAGAATCATAGAATCAAAGAGTTGGAAGAGACCTCATGGGCCATCCAGTCCAACCCCCTGCCAAGAAGCAGGAATATTGCATTCAAATCACCCCTGACAAATGGCCATCCAACCTCTGCTTAAAAGCTTCCAAAGAAGGAGCCTCCACCACACTCCGGGGCAGAGAGTTCCACTGCTGAACGGCTCTCACAGTCAGGAAGTTCTTCCTAATGTTCAGATGGAATCTCCTCTCTTGTAGTTTGAAGCCATTGTTCCGCGTCCTAGTCTCCAAGGAAGCAGAAAACAAGCTTGCTCCCTCCTCCCTGTGGCTTCCTCTCACATATTTATACATGGCTATCATATCTCCTCTCAGCCTTCTCTTCTTCAGGCTAAACATGCCCAGTTCCTTAAGCCGCTCCTCATAGGGCTTGTTCTCCAGACCCTTGATCATTTTAGTCGCCCTCCTCTGGACACATTCCAGCTTGTCAATATCTCTCTTGAATTGTGGTGCCCAGAATTGGACACAATATTCCAGATGTGGTCTAACCAAAGCAGAATAGAGGGGTAGCATTACTTCCTTAGATCTAGACACTATGCTCCTATTGATGCAGACCAAAATCCCATTGGCTTTTTTTGCCGCCACATCACATTGTTGGCTCATGTTTAACTTGTTGTCCACGAGGACTCCAAGATCTTTTTCACACGTACTGCTCTCGAGCCAGGCGTCCCCATTCTGTATCTTTGCATTCATTTTTTCTGCCAAAGTGGAGTATCTTGCATTTGTCACTGTTGAACTTCATTTTGTTAGTTTTGGCCCATCTCTCTAATCTGTCAAGATCGTTTTGAATTCTGCTCCTGTCCTCTGGAGTATTGGCTATCCCTCCCAATTAGGTGTCGTCTGCAAACTTGATGATCATGCCTTCTAGCCCTTCATCTAAGTCATTAATAAAGATGTTGAACAGGACCGGGCCCAGGACGGAACCCTGCGGCACTCCACTTGTCACTTCTTTCCAAGATGAAGAGGAAGCATTAGTGAGCACTCTCTGTGTTCGTCCACTTAACCAGTTACAGATCCACCTCACCGTAGTTTTGCCTAGCCCACATTGGACTAGTTTCCTTGCCAGAAGGTCATGGGGGACCTTGTCGAAGGCCTTACTGAAATCCAGGTACGCTACATCCACGGCATTCCCCGCATCTACCCAGCTTGTAGCTCTATAGAAGAAAGAGATCAGATTAGTCTGGCATGACTTGTTTTTGATAAATCCATGTTGACTATTAGCGATGACTGCATTTGTTTCTAAGTGTTTGCAGACCGCTTCCTTAACAATCTTTTCCAGAATCTTGCCCGGTATCGATGTGAGGCTGACCGGACGGTAGTTGTTTGGGTCATCCTTTTTTCCCTTCTTGAAGATTGGGACCACATTGGCCCTCCTCCAATCTGCTGAACCATCATCATTATCATCATCAACATCATCAACATCATCATCATCATCACCCCCATTGCTAAACATTCCACATAGCCAACTCTTTGTGCTGTTTATATATCGTCACCATCAGTCTGCAAACAGACAGAGGGACAAAGACAAAAATATCACATACCATATTCCCTAAAGATGTCCTTTTCCCAGGGGTGGATCGGTTAGGTGTAGGGGGCAAGGGTGGTAGGTGCAGGTAGCTTGAGGAGGCTGAGTGGGGGGTGATCTGTAGGAAAGGGGAAGGCAATGTTAAGGAGCAGCGCTTATAGTAGGTTGCAGGACAGTTCTGTGAAATCGCAGAAAACAATACCAGTTGCTCGGTGTAGCTTTCTAAGATCTTTGCCATTTATTTTGGTGTGATTTTGAAAGAAGCCAAATTTCAAGTTTTTGATGCCATGAATGCAGCTTGAAAGATGACAGAGAAATCACAAAAGCAAGCAGGACACTTACTTCATTGTGATCATAGAATCATAGAGTTGGGCATCCAGTCCAACCCGCTGCCAAGAAGCAGGAAAATTGCATTCAAAGCACCCTGAGATGGCCATCCAACCTCTGCTTAAAAGCCTCCAAAGAAGGAGCCTCCATCACATTCCGGGGCAGAGAGTTCCACTGCTGAACAGCTCTCACAGTCAGGAAGTTCTTCCTCAAGTTCAGGTGGAATCTCCTTTTGTGTGTGCTTCTTTTGTGTGGCAGAATGGGTCTTTGAATAGTACAGAATTTAGATGACATTGGGAAAGAATTAAGATTATGATGGTCCAAAATTTCCTACTTTTTTGTTTTAAGAGGAAATTAGACACAGTCCTGTTCATTGTAAGTTGGGAGAGGAGATATTAGAGTCAGCAACCTGATGTTCTGGAGAGCTGGTGTTTGTATATTTGGCAGGATACGGGAATATTAAGGAAGAGACAAAGTGAGTGGGAGAGAAAAGGCAGAGCTGGGAGAAATTAAGGAATCTGTTGGGAGTATAGTTTCCTGACTTTTCCAGCCAGCATAGTTGTGGTCATAATGAGCAGAAGGTTCTGGAAAATGTAGTCCTAAAAGTCCTCTGACTTCCCCACGCTCTAAGAGTGCTGTGCCCACACACATATGATCAATACTCACTAGTCGACCATGAAGTCGATTCATCACCAAAGCTCGGGTTGGTCCAGTAGATGGAGAAATATAAGCTCGATCTGGAAACTGTTAGGAAACATGAAAGCAGTGAAGAGTTTAACATCAGGGAAAATACAAAACCAAGCACCATGATGCCCACGATTGCTGGGATGTCTACTTACTCTGTTCTGTTGTGGCCTCCCCAGTGTGGCCATGAGGCTATCCTCACCCATAGGTCGAGCTCTGATAGGGTGAGGGCTCCGAGCATAGCGCCTGCCATAAGGTTCTTCAGAGGACGGGTGGACATCATAGCGGTCAGCAGGCGTCAGGGAGCGGCCCCTGGTGCCAGGTGCCAGTATGGCGTAGGGGTTACTCGGAGGGGTTTCACTGGGGGCGATGTCAACCCTTCCCATTGGAGTGTTGGGACGTACAATAACAGTCCGTGGAGAAGCCCGAGAGGATAGGTCTTCGCACGAGGCTGCCTGTGCTGCAGCTGTCCGTGGAGGTTTCCGGTGAACATGATTGGGTGACAGGTGAGCCTCGGGTATACGTGGGGACTCAGCTGGGGTCAAGGGAAGGGAGTAGGAGCGAGAAGAGCGGATGGAAAGCATAGGGGAAGTCTGAGAGGTCCGAGAAGGAGAGGAAGGGGGTGAGCTCTCAGAGGGAGGAGGGGCTGGGGATCGGGGCCCGGAGATGAATTTTGTACAAGAAATGGGAGAGGGACAGCCGTGCGTCTGGGAAGACAGGGAGCTGCCAATGGGAAAGAATGACCCAAAAAGAAAAAGAATTGTCATTGTCGTCATTCATAGACCCTGCCCTTCCTCATAAGAACGGTCTACATACAACACAACCTACATAAAATGCACAAAATACAATTCACAAACATAACTACAAATGTGATAAAAGTTATTTGCCATAGAAGAGTAGGCAGAAATAAAACTTAAGCCCACCTTGGGGAGCAAAATGGTGCCCACAGTCAACACTTCCTCTCTGCTTCCTACGGTACCCTCTTCTGGTGAACTGGATCTCTCCATTATCAATTTGCTATTTCATGTTTTGGGGTTGGTTTTTTTGAGGTTTTTTTTTTAAAGGCATAATCTTTTAGAGATCATAACTTTTTGGGAAACCAGAAATCTCCATAACCTTTTGGAAATGTGACACTTTTGGAGACTAATTTGTATTCACACTATTTGGAATAATCATAACCCTTTTGTAAAGAATGATCTTCCTAAGAGTTAAATACTCATTTGAGTGAATCTTCTCATTAGTGGTAAATATCCACTAGTATTCATGCAAGGCCCGTTATGCTTCTCAGTTGTTAGACTGATAGCCTGGTTGTTTCTAGTCTGTTAGGAACAAAGATATGCCAATGCACAAAATATAGATCTTCAGAAGTGTTATTTCAGTTGCCCAAAAACATCTATTCTCTCATAAAATATATTGCTTTTAAGTCATGCTCTCAAGAAACCAAAAATAGGTAGTCTTCATTAAAGGTAGCATAGTTGAATTACTTACAAACTTCATGTATTCAGCATACAAGTACATTTCTTACTGATTAAGAGTTTAAACAGTAAGTTCTCTAAAGCATTCTGTTTCAGTCTTTTTGTTGCAGACAGATTAACACTCTCTTCAGTCTAATACATTACTAAACATTGTCTCAATACAGACTGACTACACACTGCAGCATACTGACACTGATTTTACTTCTAAGCTGTACTGTTTTTGATGTAAACAACTTCTAAAAATGGAGTCTCAGTCTGAATAGTCCCAGATCTGGTCACACGGTCTGCAGTTCCTCCCACAACGTCAAACAACATAGAGTTAAGGGGGAAGCTGCATATCAAAATATACATACAATATTGTAAGAATTCTGAATTATACACATAACAAATAGCTAGTATATGAGGCTTGTAGACGGTTGCTATTTCCAACAGTTTTCAAGTGCTTACCTTAAATCTGGCTGCTCTATCCTTTCGTTATAGTAGATCCCGTTGACAGAACTGGATAAAGAAATCCTCCTGGGGGGAGGGGAACCCCTTTGACTATCTTGCTGGTGGAGGCTCTCAGATAATGAGGCCTCGTCCTCCTGTTTCTCAGAGAGACGGGCAATTTCCAGCGATTCTGCGCTTTTGGCATAGTCATCTGGCACATCCCTGACATCCTCTAAGCTGGTATGAGTGGACACAGACTGGCTTTGGAGACCCCGGGTGCTGAGATGGGGCAGAAAGGAAGATTAGACATGCTTTCTAAATCAGACTCGGAAAAATTACCTTTTCTGGACTACAGCTCCCAAAATCCGCAAGCTGAATGGGGAATTTTGAGAGCTGTAGTCGCCCAAGACTAATTTGACCACAAGCTGCTCAAAGTTCTGCTTAAGCAATGCATTTATGTTTACCTACAACCATCTACAACGTCAATTAAAAATCTATTTTTGCCACCCTTCCCATCAATCAAAAAAATTGCAATTTAACTTACCAACCAATACATATATGTGGGTTTTTTTATCTGCTTGATAAATTGTTATGAGTTTTAATTGTTTATATGCTTAGATTGTCCACATTTTTATGAGATTTTTTATTGTTTACTTGTATGGCATTGAATTGTTGCCAAATTTGTAAGCCGTCTTAAGTCCCCTCTCGGGTAGAGAAAGGTGGGGCAGAAAAGAAGTAAATAAATCAATAATACAGGCTCTTATTGATCATTTAGCTGTAAATAAACCAAAATCGGTTTTATGGAAAACTCCAAACAGCTATTCTTATGATGTCCCCCTTCTGTGCCATTAATGGAACTTGGTTCCCTAGACAGTTCTTTGATGGGTTGCTGTGAGTTTTCTGGTCTGTATGGCCATGTTCCAGAAGCATTCTCTCCTGACATTTCTCCCACATCTATGGCAGTCATCCTCAGAGGTTGATGGGTCTGTTCTTTGATACATTATCTCCATCACCAGGATAATGCATCAAAAGATTGTCCAGGAACTGAATTTCATTAATGGAACAGAAGAGGATATTATAAGAACATTTGTATGGAATTTTATTAATTATTAATTATTTATTTACAGTATTTATATTCTGCCCCTCTCACCCCGCAGGGGACTTAGGGCGGATTACAATGCACATATACATGGCAAACATTCAATGCCAGTTAGACATACAACATGTATAGACACAGAGTCAATTTAACATTCCAGCTTTTCTGGCTTCATGAGGGAATGCTCGATTCCGGCCACAGGGGGAGCTGCTGCTTCATCATCCATTTGTGACACCGAGTCCTTTGATGGAGTACTTTCTCATTCTTCTGCATGCTGCTGGAAGGTTTTATGGCATTGAAAATTAGTTAAATTAGCCTCTCTGCATAAAACGATACCCAAATTTCCTGCTTGACAGATGCAATTGTTTTCAGGCTGCATAGGTCAACAGAAAGCTAGGCTAATGGCCGGAAGCTCACTCCAACCCGGGCTGGCTTAAAAGCGTGACCTCTCAGTGAGTAGTGATTAATGCTGTTGGCTATCAGCTAGCTGTGCCACAGCTACGTCCTTTTCTATAAGGAATTGATCTTTAGTTTGTTTCCAAACATTAGGCAGAATTGGTAAACCATCTCAGGTAGCAGAAGCTGAGGTCATAAGACAGAGGTGTGTCTCCCAGATCTGTCCTATGCTCCCTAAACTAGCTTGGTTCTCTTTGGTGAAGGAAACACCTTCTTGGAAAGGTACTATTCCAATGCTATAATCAATCATCACTGTTTGCCTCAGCCAAGAAAATGGCTTTTTCTTGGCCACAGATGCAATAATTAATCCAGCACATGGCTGTACACAACAATCCTTACTAGTTTCCACAGTCACACTCAGCCGTCGCTGCCTGGTTCATTGCTCTGATCCAACTGTTCATGTCCAACTGGGTTTCCGCACTGAAGTAATATGTTCTCATGCCAGGATGTTCAGCCTGGAAGAGGGAGAGAAAAGAAGTCCCTGTAGAACTCAAAATATCCTCAAGGAGGCAGCAAATATATATAGAGAGAGACTGCTAAATAGCTGTAAGAAAAGAGAACCCATAGTAGACTTCTTGGCTCCTGATGCATTTCCTGCATGGCTGCCAGCAAACCGTGTTCTCTGATTTAGAGCAACATATGAGCTCTTGAAAGTAAACAAGCATCAAGCCCAACTTTTCTGCTCGGCAGCCTCTGCCAAATCAGCCAAGACTTTTGGCTTCCAGACCCATCAGACTCAGACCAGCTTTCCATGTCTCAAAATGGTGGGTTTCTCATTATTGCTACATGTTTGCCTGGTAATGTTCCTGCCAGGGTCTTAATTCCAACCACAATGGGTTTTCTTATTATATTAACAAATAATTCACTCAAGCAAGCAATCCCATATTTTGTATGCTAACAGTGGAGAATGTGCAAATGTGGAGAACCAACTGTACTCAACAATAAGTTGGTCTTGTAAATAAGTCGAGAACAGGTTTGTGTCCCAAAATTACAGAATTTCCTGTACTTACGGATAACTTGAGAATAAAATGTAAGGGCATGTAACAAGGCATGTTAAGAATAAAGGAAGGGAAACCAATGTCAAAGAAGTTACATTCTTCCAGTAAGTGTAACTACTTCTACTCACTCAAAAGGGAAGGGAACTAAATTGTGGCTGTACAATATGTGGAAGACTCACCTTGGGCATTATGCCCTACTTGGGACAGAAGGAAAGAGAAATCCAAGGTATGGCCCAAAAACCCTACAACAACCAAGCCAAGGTTGTCAAAAAGGCCATAGAGCTCATTTCTGTTCCCCAAAATTGAGAATCTTGAACCACAATCCAAAAAGGGACTTGTGCACAGAAAAATGAAAAACCTGACTCCCCTGAAGCTGGGGTTCATGAAGAACTATCCAAAAATGGAGCTGTGTAAATGGAAAAATAATTCTGCTACCCAGAAGCAGGGATCATAAAGCACCATCCAAAAAGGGACTTTTCTAATGGAAGAAAATAAGTCTACTTCCCAGTAGCAGAGGATCCCAAAGCAGTGATCTGAGAAGTTTCTTGTATTTATGGAGTTCCTCCCAAAATATGTGGCTGTCGCAGCAAGGTGAGATTTTTGGAAAACAGAAATCTCCATAACTTTTTGGAGATTTTATGATGTTTGGAAAGGCATGACCCTGTTAGAAGTCAAAACCTTTTGAAAAATTATGCCATCATCTCTTGGTAAAAGCATGACCTGTTAGAGCAGTGGTTCTCAACCTGTGTGACCCCAGATGTTTGGGCCTTCAGCTCCAAGAAATCCTAACACCTGGTAAACTGGCTGGGATTTCTGGGAGTTGTAGGCCAAAACACCTGGGGACCCACTGGTTGAGATCCACTGTGTTAAGAGTCATAACCTTTTGGGAAAACTGCATTCATGCAAGGCAATTAGGTTACTCAGCTGTTAAACTGATGTACCTAGGTATGTCTTTGAACTGTTAGGGACAAAGATATGCCAACGCACAAAAACATACACACAGAAAAGTTTCAGAAGTGTTCTTTTAGTTGCCCAAAAACATGTACTCTCCCTTAAAATATATTTGTCTTTAAATCATGCTCTCAAGAGACAAAAATAAACACTTCTTTAAAATTATTATAGCTGGTTTATTCATAAACTTCATGCATTCAGCATACAGGGACTTTGCTTATGAATCTAGTTACAAATAGGATTTGAAGTAGTTTCTCTGTGTAGGTAACACAGTGCATTATTGCTTATAATCAATAGTCCAAAGCATCTCCCTATTCTGAGAGTCTAATAGAGTCTCTGCAGTCCGTTTCAACTATCGTAATTTCTAAACTGTACTGTTTCCACTGAGGTCTCTAAGTATACAGTTCCTACATTGAAGTCTGAAGCATACAGTTCCTGCTGGCATCTGAAAGCATGCATTGTTTTAATGATTATCAATTGAAGTATGTTTCATTATAATGTTTGATTTTATTGTTGCTGATGTTTTTTATATTGTATATTGTAATTGTGTCCGCAGATACAGAAAAGGACTGACCTTGAACACAAAGCGCCGGTTCTTCTTCTCTTTGGAGAACGCTGTCCGGATCTCATAACTAGGGAGAGGGATGCTGCCCAAAACCATCTCTTCACGACTGTCTGCAAACACAAATTTGTGCTTAACCATTCAACTACTGTTAAGAGTAACACCCCTATCTCCGTAACAGTCGTTGCTGTCAAAGCCCTTGGAGTTTCCTCTGATCTATGGTGAAGATTTTGATTATTTTGACATTGATAACCTTCTACTCCCAGTTTCTCCAGTGCTATGTCTACCTAATACACCTCAAGTCCGCCCTCTGGAAGTGCAGTTCAAGTGGGCCCTCCAAAATCACAGAATCTGGACATGTGATATCCAGCAACCACAGATCGTGTGCTTCACATTGGTAAATAGCAGCAATGTGAATGCAAACACATCAAAGCATGTGTGCCCACATCTCTACCATTTAATAATATTGAATGTGATCATTCAGTTTCTTTTGTGTCCATGGCGCTTCCTGGAACTGGGCCCTCATGAATATGGGAAACTCACTGTACATTACAATATATTCCTTTCTGAGATGCCTTCAGATTAAACTATGAGACTAAAATAAATTCCAGTTACCTCGATAATAGAAAAGACAGTAATTGGAAAGGACAAACCAACGCCGTTTCCATAGTTTAAGTCCTGAACTGTCCTGTTAAAAAAAGGAAAGGAAGAAATAACATCAAAGATCACCATAACACTTATCAAGGAACACAGGAATCCCACCAATCTATCAATATCCTATTTTCCCAATAGACCACTAAAGAAGTATGGCTATTCAAATATGAAGGGGGCTCAGGCAAGGGAAATTCTTGTAGGCTGCTATCTCTGCCAATGGATCATAATGCGCTTATTACTTTATACATTACTTTAGTTTTATCCCACCTTTATCCAGATACAGGGATTCAATACACTACTATTATGTACTGATAGCAGTAACTACAGATTCCTCGGTAAACAATTGGAAACAAAAACTTGTCAAAATGGCTGGACGTCATTTAACCAACAGCAGGGCTGCCACAAGTATTTACATATTACTTGTAAGCCGCTTTGAGTCCCCTTCGGGGTGAGACGGGCGGCATATAAATGTCTTAAGTAGATAGATAGATAGATAGATAGATAGATAGATAGATAGATAAGTCATGTTGCTTTCTCACTCTCATTTACCTGTTTGTAAAGCCACCCACGCATGATAACAGGTGAGTTGGGATCTCTCTTGATGGAGTTTGCCCTTTTTCCAAAAGTGTGTACCTTCTGGACTGTCCGGGCTGTGTTTCGCTATGGGAAACAAAGAGGTAAATACATATAACTTCAGTTAGTCAACAGCAGTAGGTTTATGCAGGACTATATTTGGAGGCTTGGATTCTGGTCCCGTATCGGAGCCACACAGAATGTCCCAAATCCTATATTTCTTGATTTGATGAAAGCGAGCACCAGTGACTATTTGAGCAGAAAACCCACAAGCATTTGGTAGGCAGAAAAATGTCTATATATATCAAGTAATGGGGCTCTGCCAGCTGAGATCGCAGTTGGCATGGCATGGCTCGTTTTCTAAAGAATCCCAAATTGTGGCTTATGAGGTGTTTTCTCAATCAGAGTAGAAAGAGCAAGCAAGCAGCTGCACTTGAAATGGACAGATTTTTTCCTATGAGACCAATTTGTCAAGTACCAAATGCTCCCTTGTCTGTTGGCTGCAAGAGAGGCTGGTACCTGTTTTTCCAGCTCTCAGCTTTTTATGTAATAGAGAAAATAGAATATGAGACTGCCCTATATAAGGCCCACCTTAGGTGCATCTACACTGTGGAATTAATGCAATTTCTTACCACTTCAATGTGCCATGGCTCAATGCTATAGATTCATAGAAGCTGTAGTCTGGTGGGGCAACAGCCCTCCTTGGTAGAGGAGGCTAAAGATATTCTGTCATGATTCTGTACCATTGAGCCATGGCATTTAAAGTGGTTTCAAACTGCATTAATTTTGCAGTGTAAATGTACCCTACAGCACATAAAGGCTCTAAAAATCCCAGTCCAAATGGTATAGGGCCGGGCTATAGCACATCCAGTTAATCACCACCAGCAGAAATAAGATCTGCCAACTGAAAGGTTGCCAGTTCGAAGCCCAGGTCAGGGTGAGCAGCTGACTGTCTGCCCAGCTCACTGTTTACCTAGGCAGTTTGAAAACAGCTTAGAGCTGTAAGTAGAGAAATTAAGTACTGCTAAAAAGCGGAGGAGGTATTTTATGACACCATAAAAGAAAAACACCAGAAAATGCCTGCGACCAAAAGGAAAGAGGAAGTCCTGACAGCTCTTTATCATAGAGGATGGAGCAACAACACCCCCCTGTGGCTGGATTTGAGCACAACCTCCAAGGTGCCAAAAAGTTGGACGTCAACACAACATACCTTCTTGCTGTCTGTCCTGTCTGTTCAAACGGCATTGAATCTTTGTTGTGTATATGTACTGTGATCCACCCTGAGTCCCCTTGGGGAGATAGGGCAGTATATAAATAAAGTTTTGTTGTTGTTGTTGTTATGAAAGGGGAAAAAGATACAATTCCAACTAAATAATTGTACTAAAGTTACTACAAGTTGAGCATCCTTATCTGAAATTCCAAAATACTCCAAAATCCAAAACTGACCACTTGAGTGACTCAGATAGTGACACCTTTTGCTTTATGAAAATTCAATGTACACAAACTTTGCTTCATATGCAAACTGATTTTTAAATGTTGTGAATAAAATTAGTTTTAGCCAATATGTGTGAGGTGTATTTGAAGCACAAGTGAATTTCATGTCTTACCTTGGCTCCCATTGAGACGGAAGAGATGGTGGCAGTGCTGCTGGCTTGACTTAGGCTGCTTGTTGGCCGGTCCCCCTCTGACATGGCCCCCAGCTGACCCAACGTGGTCTGAAAGAGAGCAGAGAATGATGGGTATTCAAGTGATGGTTTATTAGTTACCAAAACCTTCAGTTTGGGGAAAGTGCTTCACACAAATGTAGAGCTCCAGTCTTCACCCGTTGCAAGAACATTGCCATATCCCTGTAACATCAGAGCTTTAGACTGCAGTTGTATCTATGCTGTAGAATCAATGCATTATGATACCAATTGGCTCATTTTTATGGAATTCTGGGAGGTGTAGTTTGACAAGATCTTGAGCCTTCTTTCCAAAGAGCGCTAATGTTTCATCAAAGTACAGCTCCCACAATTCCATGGCATTCAGTCATGACAGTAAATGTGGTGTCAAACTGCATTAATTGTACAGTGTAGACTCACCCTGCAAATCCCATGCTTCCTTTCTGGATGTTGTCATCTAAAATAATTAACTTTAACAAAGGTCTTTTGAAGATCAGATGCAGCAGTACACATAGAAGTCTTCTGAGAACATTACATAATATAACATCTTTGAACCCAGAATGATTGACAGAATGAGTCTGCCAATAATTTTACTAGTTTATAGGGGCCAAAAGAAGAAAGATGGGGAAAACTTTGTGCCTCACACAGCACCTCATTGTAGTTTTACATGAAGCACAGAGTGTATCCACAATACAGATTTAATGCAGCTTGACACCACTTTGGAGCCCCCAGTGGTGCAATGGGTTAAACCTCTGAGCTGCTGAACTTGCTGACTGAAAGGTCAGCGGTTTGAATCCAGGGAGCAGTGTGAACTCCTGCTGTTAGCCCCAGTTTCTGCCAACCTAGTAGTTTGAAACATGCAAATATGAGTAGATCAATAGATACAACTTTGGCAGGAAGGTAATGGTGCTCCATGCACTTATACCGGCCACATAACCTTGGAGGTGTCTACAGACAACACTGGCTCTTCAGCTTAGAAACTGAGATGAGCACCAACCCCCAGAGTCAGACACAACCGGTCTTAATGTCAGGGGAAAACCTTTACCTTTACCTATTTCCCGTAGTAACCTATGGGTGTGAGAGCTGGTCCATAAGGAAGGCTGAGCAAAGTAAGATTGACGCTTTTGAACTGTGGTACTAGAGGAAAATTCTGAGAGTGCCTTGGTCCGTAAGAAGACCAAACCAGTCCATACTCCAGGAAATAAAAGCCTGGCTGCTCACTGGAGGGGAGGATATTAGAGGCAAAGATGAAGTACTTTGGCCACATCATGAGAAGACAGGAAAGCTTAGAGAAGACAATAATGCTGGGGGGAAATGGAAGAAAAAAGGAAGAGGGGCCAACCAAGGGCAAGGTGGATGGATGGCATCCTTGAAGTGACTGGCTTGACCTTGAAGGAGCTGGGGGTGGCCATGGCCAATAGGGAGTTCTGGCATGGGCTGGTTCATGAGGTCACGGAGAGTCAGAAACGACTGAACGAATAAACAACAACAACAATTTTGGTGAGGTGCAGAGACAGCGAAAGATCTTTTAAAACAATAACTCCCACAATTCCATTACATTGAGTCACGGCAATTACAGTTGTGACAAGAGTAAATGCACCCAGAGAAGGGATAGCATATGCCATCTGTTTCCCTTTGGACATTCTGTAGTCCAGTTAGAATGGGCCACTGAGCATAGAAATTGGATTCTTAAGAATAATTTTTTAAAACAGAAAAAATATTTCTTATCTTTATGGGGTTGAAAATGTTCTGAATATGTACCAATAAGATCGGAAAAAGTTTGTTGCGACAGGTGTAAGTTTTTTTCCACTGCTCCAACCCAACTAACCAGGTTTTCAACACTCTTCCCACTCACAAGTGCCTCCCAGTGTTGCTACACAGTCTTTTTCCTCATAGTAAATTCATAGAGAGCCTCCCAATATTACGATCAAGCAGCATTGGGCAAGATAAGTAACTCAACATGTGTTTTATGGTTTTATTTCACTTATGTTGCAGTAGGTTTTGACTATTTCTGGGCACGGAATTCCAGTTTCCCAGAAGCAGCAGATGCAAATAATATTTTCAAGATTGATGGACATTTTGTTAGTGTTTTTCAGCATGCAGGGATATACAGTAGGTTTTGCATGATCTACTGTTTCTATTTGCTTTGAGCTGAAAGGCAGACTGGAGTGGGGAAGCCATTCAACCCACTCCCCTGCTCATTGCTCAACTCAACTAAGCCAGTGAATTCCCTTTAGTTATTTTTGGACTTAACCCACCTGCTTGTGTCTGGCAAAAGCATCTCTTTCAAGAGTGCCGGACTGGTGAGATGGGAAATTCCACCCTTTCCCTTGGCAAGGCAACTCAACCATCAATGGCCCTTTGTTCTCAAACACCTAAATCTCATTTCGTATTATGTGTGGTTTTTAATACCCAGAGGTTGTTTCTGATAGTTCCTCTTAGGCTGGCATTTTAGAATCTTATATGTGGAAAGTGCTTGATTTGGCAGCACATATACTAAAATTGGAACACCCAGCTCCTGCCAACCTAGCAGTTTGAAAACGTGCAAATGTGAGTAGATCAATAGGTACCGCTTAGGCGGGAAGGTAACAGCACTCCATGCAGTCATGCCGGCCAGATGCCCTTGGAGGAGTCTACGGACAACGCCAGCTCTTTGGCTTAGAAATGGAAATGAGTACCAACACCCAGAGTCGGGCACGACTGGACTTAATGTCAGGGGAAAACCTTTTACCTTTTTACATATCTTCCATATACCTAATAAAGTGAAAATATGTATGTGGGTATGTGGCTGGGATTCCTACATCCACATACAGTTCTCAATTCCACAAACAGCTTTAACTTATAGTGCTAAGGAGCCACCAAAAACCCTCCCTCCAAAGACATTATAGGTTATAGCAAGCATCATGAACATGTAGCCCAGCCCCTGCCAATGTCCTCCCCAAACACCATACTGCCTACCATCCAAGGAATGCTTTCATTTAGGGACAAATAGTAAACTGTAACTAGGGCTTATTTTTGAAGTAGGTTTTATATGTTGAGCAAACCTCAAAAATCCTGAAAAAAATCATGCTAGGGGATCTTATTTTCAGGGAAACAGGGTAGCAGAGGTTTTCCTGAATTGCTAAATATAAGGCCTGCCCCGAAAGTAAGATCTAACAACTACTGTATAGTATATAATAAATGTTCAATTTTTTAAATTCAACAATAAATGTGAATTCTTCTTCATGGCAAAATAAGACATCCCCTGAAAATAAGACCTAGCGCATCTTTGCGAGCAAAAAATAATATAAGGCACTGTCTTGTTTTGGGGTAAACAGGGTACCTATCACCAAAGACTTTGCTTAAGTGGCAATCATCGGGAATCTTCTGTATACAAATAATTTGTTTGACCGTTGAGCTAAAAGATTGCATTCAACTAAGAGTGCATCTTTACTGTCAAATTAAAACAGTTCAATGCCACTTTAACTGCCATGGTTCAATGCTATGGAATTGTGAGAGCTGTAGTTTGATGACACATCAGCACTCTTTGGCAGACAAGGCTGTAAAATTATAACTCCCATGATTCTATAGCATTGAGCCATGGCAATTAAAGTGGTGTCAAACTGAATTAATTCAACAGTGCAGATGCAACCTAAGATAAAAAAAAGTCTAAATACCCGGAAGGCACCTGATCCTGTCTGATCCTGGAAGCTGAGCAAAGTTACGCCTATTTAGTATTTGGCTGGGGAACTGCCAAAGAAAACCAAACACTTTAGGCTATATCTTGGAGGACGGTAATGGCAAACTGCCTCTTGAATATTCCTTGCCTGTGGTGTTATTGAACAATCCGCTTTTCTAATCCTTTGCATTATTTTTGGCCGAATGGCAAAGGATGCGCTACTTCCGCACCTCCCTTATCATGCATGCAAAGAAGCATATCTTCTGTTAAGTGAAGGTGTGCTAATACTAATATAGGCAAGTACCCACAATACAACCATTATCGTAAGAAGCTTGAAATACAAAGAAATACATTGCAAACTAATTGTCATGGATGTCATACAACAGGATCAAAGCACTTATAAAGTATGATTTTTTAAAAGTCTATATAGAGAAGTCCAGGGTTGCAACGTTTCTCAACTTGGGGGTTGGGACCCCTGGTGGGGGTCACCAGGGGGTTTCAGAGGGGTCGTAAAACATATATTTCAGATGGTCTTAGACACCCCTTTGCCAGAGAAGGCTGAAGATCTCTCCGCCTGTCCTTCTCTTCCTTTTTGGAAACAGATGGCGAATCCTCCCCCAAAAGCCCTCCTCTGCTGCAATTGCTGGCCTCTCAGCTAAGGGGGGGGGGGGGCTGTTTCTGAAACTCTCAGCAAGGAGCGGAAAGCAGGCATGTTTGATGCACGACAGTGTGATGCACATGTACGGGTGAGGGAGAGCGGGTGAGGCTGGAGGGAGGTGTGCACCAGTGAGTTCCTTCAAGGCATGGGCTCTGGGAAGTTTGGCCCAGTTATGTCATTGGTGGGGTTTACCTTTCGTCCATGTCCCAGCATTATTTCCAATTTTAACTCTACATTTGGCCTTCCCACTGTTTTTAATTGTGTGTTGTCTTATTGATAATGTTGTGTGTTTTATTGTCTATGTTTTTAATTGCTTGTATTGTTGGTTATTATTGTTTGTATTGTTGTTTTTGGGCTCGGCCTCATGTAAGCCGCACCGAGTCCTTTGGGAGATGGTAGCGGGGTACAAATAAAGGTTGTTATTATTATTATTATTATTATTATTATTATTATTTTATTATTGGCTCTTTGTTGTAGTGAACTATAAATCCAGCAATTACAAAGTCTATTTTCCCCAAACTCCACCAGTGTTCACATTTGGGCATATTGAGTACTCGTGCCAAGTTTGGTCCAGATCCATCATTGTTTGAGTCCACAGTGCTCTCTGGATGTAGGTGAACTACAACTCCAAAACTCAAGGTCAATGCCCACCAAACCCTTCCAGTATTTTCTGTTGGTCATGGGAGTTCTGTGTGCCAAGTTTGGTTCAATTCCATCGATGGAATTCAGAATGCTCTT